TTATTATTATTATTATTATTGCATTGTTGTTGTCACAGCCATTGTTTTATCTGTTCTATTCTGCACTCCAGTAGAGACCCTTGAGAATAAAAGCCCCATTCAGATATTATCTCTGTTGGGAAGTGAACCCAGGACCTCTGCACTGTAAAGCAACAACGCTCTCCACCTATGGCTTGATGTATGATCCGTGTGGTGGGGGTGACATGCGTTGTTGCCCCTCAGTAACCAATCCTTGTTTTGTTATCACACTTGGACTGTAGATATTACAGATGGAAGCTGATTGGTTGCTTTGGACAACATGTCACCTCTAGCACACTTTTCATACACCAGGCCACTTGTGAAAATCATGTATTTTTCTCACAGCGCTTATGTCCTGGGTTCAGCTTCCACCAGCGACAATGTCTGAATGGGGTTTCATGTTATCCTTTTGTTAGCATGGCTGTCAGCCGGGTACATGCCTTTCCTCCCATAGTCCAGAGTCATACTATAAGGTGAAGGAAATTTGTGAACCAGGCTGATCTGAAGATGCTACTTGCCAGGCTGTTATGCTGATCCAATGACTTCAGCTCTCTCTGAGTTTCTAGTCAAGATCAGGCTTGCAGTACATGGCCTCAGAACGGGCTGCTCATCTTCCTACTTGTTGGTGGTCGATGACTCAGCATGTCAGGCTAGCATTGTACCCCGCGGTTCAGGTTCCCCACCTAGGTGCTCACTCAGGGTCTCAGGCCAGGAAAAGACAAATATTCCTCAGACTGGACTCAAGTATTTCATTGGTCTGGTGTCTTCCCTTCACACTATCATACGGATGTTCTGTGACATGCATTCCCTTTACCTGTCTCTTTATAATGGATCTTGTGAGAGAAATATCACATGTGTCATTTTTAAGGGAGGCTTTATGGATCAGAAATGTGGAACATTGACCTGTAATGGGCATGTAATAGCCGTGATCTCCGGCAGTCTCATGTAGTGTGTCTCCAGTTTCTGACCATCACCTGGACCTTGTCCTAAGTCTCCAATAACTACTATAACATGTTCGGAGTTATTGGAGACTGACTGAACATCTCAGTCTCTGACTATGTCTTGTAGCATGTCTGCAGTCTCTGACTATGTCTTGTAGCATGTTTGCAGTCTCTGACTATGTCTTATAGCATGTCTGCAGTCTCTGACTATGTCTTGTAGCATGTCTGCAGTCTCTGACCGTCTTCTGTAGCATGTGTGCAGTCTCTGACTATGTCTTGTAGCATGTTTGCAGTCTCTGACTATGTCTTGTAGCATGTCTGCAGTCTCTGACCATCTTCTGTAGAATGTATGCAGTCTCTGATTATGTCTTGTAGCATGTCGGCAGTCTCTGACCATCTTCTGTAGCATGTGTGCAGTCTCTGACTATGTCTTGTAGCATGTCTGCAGTCTTTGACTGTCTTGTAGCATGTTTGCAGTTTCTGACCATGTCTTGTGGCATGTCTGTAGTCTCTGACCATCTCTTATTGCATGTCTGCAGTCTCTGATCATGTCTTGTAGCATGTCTGCAATCTCTGACCATGTTTTGTAGCATGTCTGCAGTCTCTGACCATGTCTTGTAGCATGTCTGCAGTCTCTGACCATCTCCTATTGCATGTCCGCAGTCTCTGACCATGTCATGTAGCATGTCCACAGTCTCTGACCATGTCTTGTAGCATGTTTGCAGTCTCTTACCATGTCTTATAGCATGTCTGCAGTCTCTCACCATGTCTTATAGCATGTCTGCAGTCTCTCACCATGTCTTATAGCATGTCTGCAGTCTCTCACCATGTCTTGTAGCATGTCTGCAGTCTCTGATCATGTCTTGTAGCATGTCTGCAGTCTCTGACCATGTCTTATAGCATGTCTGGAGTCTCTGACCATGTCTTATAGCATGTCTGCAGTCTCTGACCATGTCTTATAGCATGTCCGCAGTCTCTGACCATCTCCTATTGCATGTCTGCTGACCCTGACAATTTTCTGTACCATCAAATGCAGCAAATATCATGTGTCAGCCTTAGGCAAGCGAGGCCCTTTATATCATGAACGTTGGCCACCACTATTATCTATATATATATATGAATTTGTACATTATTATTATTTGATGTATGTTTATGTCTTTGTCATTGTTCTAGATTCCCAGGACTTGTATTATCAGGGCTACTACATGTGCCTGAAGGAGACAGTGGGATTTCTGCACAGCCATGGCCAAGCACAAGCGAAGATACTGCGCCAAATCTGTAGGCAGCAAAGCCAGTCCACAGGAGAGCACAGTCTCCAATACCCGCCCGCCTCCCCGGAGAGAAGTCCACGTAACCCCTCAGAAGGTCACAGGGACATATGGAGGCCGTGGTAGGCCCATCACTGCGATATATTCCACAGTCGTATATTACAAGAATATCGTAGCACTGAAAGTGCCCCCAATCCTACCCCTGCTGGAGGATGAGGGGGGTTCTGACATGATGAGGTTTCCCCCTACTGGCCACGACATGCAAAAGCAGGACATTTAAAGTGGAACTTCAAGCAAAACCATTTTTAGTTTTGGTAAGGTGGGGAGTTTTTATTGACCTTTCCTTATCGGCAAGATTTACACTCACCTCTTGTGTGGGTTACAAGGACAGGGGGTCAGGGAGATTCCTAAAGCGGTGACACGGAGACAAAAACCTGGCCAAAGACTACAACTTTTCTATGCGCTTTTCCAAGAAACTTTTTGTTTGGGGCACTTTACTGTAGGAAACCATGAACCTGAACAGGCCGTATCTATAGATCCGATCATAACATTTCTAAAGTTCTTGCACTGCAATAGGTTTGATGTGTCATTCTGCTTTGGGGTATCACTGTAATGCGTCACGTCTGGATGCTGTTATAGTGTTATAGCTGCAGTCAGGGAGATGATGGTTTTTGGATAACTTGTCCGTCAATCTTCCAGGTTCGTTCTAAGATTGATGGCTAAGATATGATGATGCACCTTACAAACCTAACCTACTGTGTGCGCGGTTATCACAATCTTTTTTTATGTTTGTTTTTCGGACAATGTAACAGGTTCTTTTTAGAGGAGGGGTGGTAGGGAGTAGGGATGCACCGATACCAAGCACCATACTCGGGACAAGTACAGATACTTTTCCAGCTCCAAGACCAGACTAGAGAAAAACTCAAAAGTTAGGAGGCAGCTGTCATTTGTAAGGAGCACACGGAGCTCCTGGGATTTGTCTTTCTCTGTTTTAATGTATTATTTTGTTTTTATGAATATATATATACCGTATTTGCCGCCGTATAAGGCGACTGGGCGTATAAGACGACCCCCTAATTTTTCTGGGCTATAATCGTCGTATAAGGCGAGTATAACCCAAGATAATGTTTAAATACACCCACTAACCTCCATGGCGGTATTCCCGAGTGTGGCTCGGGGTTAATTTTCAGTACCATAAGCGGTAACCCCGAGCCACACTGGGGATTACAGTCTCTTATCTTGTCCACGATCCCCGCTGTGTCCTCCGTCCTCCGGGTTCCGTCCCTTGCGAGCGTCCGCGTCGCAGGGGGGAGGAATTTTAAAAGTTAAAAAAATTAGAACAAAAAAGGGGAAAAAAATAAAATAATCAGACCGCCAGAGTGGCTAATCTGTCAGCCTGCTGGATGTGCGGTAATACTGTATGTACGGTAGCTTTGGCTACATACAGTATACCGCGCTGAGCCAATCACGGCAATTTGAGTTTAGTGTCATGTGACAGTTTTTCTAAAACAATACAGACTAATGATTTCAGGACAGTGGTGGAGTGCCAGAGCCAGGTCCCAGCTGCAACCGCTGCAACCCTGGTAGTTCTCATGAAAATGCCAAGTATCTGCACTGGTACTCGAAAAGTATCGGTGCATCCCTAGTGGTATAGCTGCAGTCAGGGACATGATGGTTTTTGGATAACTTGTCCATCAATGTTCCAGGTTCATTCTTAGGTTGGTGGCTAAGATATGATGATGCACCTTACAAACCTATGCGCGATTATAGCAATCCTTTTTTGTTTTGTTTTTAGGAAAATGTAACAGGTTCTTCTTAGAGGAGGGATGGTAGGGAGCACATACTGGCCTCCTGTGCCAGGGGTTTAGCAACCTTTTGAACATTAAGTGTCAAGTTACAAGCATTACACAACTGACGTTCCAATGTACAAAACCTCAGATCAGCCCCAGGTCTTCTACCTTCAGAATTCAGATCAGCCCCAATTCCTGCAACTTCACACCTCAGATGAACCCTAATTCCTGCACCTTTACATCGCAGATGAAACCTAATTCCTGCACCTTCACATCGCAGATGAAACCTAATTCCTGCACCTTCACATCGCAGATGAACCCTAATTCCTGCACCTTCACATCGCAGATGAACCCTAATTCCTGCACCTTCACATCGCAGATGAACCCCAATTCCTGCAACTTCACACCTCAGATGAACCCTAATTCCTGCACCTTCACATCGCAGGTGAACCCTAATTCCTGCACCTTTACATCGCAGATGAAACCTAATTCCTGCACCTTCATACCTCAGATGAACCCTAATTCCTGCACCTTCACACCTCTGATGAGCCCTAATTTCTGGACCCTCAGACTTCAGATCAGTTCCAATTCCTGCAGCTTCAAACCTCCGATCAGCCCCAATTCCTGTACTTCCAGGCGTCAGATCACCCCAATTTTTTCCCCTTCAGATCTTCGATTGGCCACAACTTTGGCACCTTCGGATCTCAGATCAACCCTGATTTCTTCCCCTTCCAACCTCAGATCAGTCCCTGTTCCTGTCCCTTCAGATCTAGATCAGTCCTCATTCCTGCTCCATCATAAATAAAGGCGTTTTACATTCATACTTGCTGCAGCTAGCGCTTATAATAAGAGGAGGAAGAATGTATGTAGGTAGGGAGGCTTCCTCACACAACATTCTCCACAACCGCAGGTGAGCCTACAGTTGAACTGAGAGGAGGGCCAGCACCTGAACATCAGACAGGCCTCTCTAAAATATCATGGAGGTGGGTGGTCCAGGGGAAGGGGGAGCGCAGAGGGGTTTGTAACTGACAGCATAGTGAGCTGTGAATTATAGCCTATGGCAGCGGCACTATATTAGTAGGGAGCATGCGCCCAATCACCAGCACAACCACGTGAGCACAGTGGCAGGATCCTTAGCCCTATGTAAAATCAGCCCCACTGTTGGGTTGAACAGCACACATGGGAGGTAAGCGTGTGCTCCTTGCCCTGCCTGCTCTGAAGAGAACCTGTCAATTTGCCCTGAATGGGCACCAAATCGTTTCCATATTAATGTTGTATTGCATAATGTGAAAACTGATCTTGCGTGTTATATTTTAGGCTTGTGGAGATTTGAGGCACCTAAAACCTCCTTAAACCAAAACTGTACTGAAACAAATCTGTAAACTGCTGACCCCCCTCGGAAAATAGCAGCTGCGTAGCTATGGATGGCTCTGATATTTTTATAGTTACTGACCAGAATAAGCACGGATCCACTGAGGTCCAAATTCCTTATCTGCATATATGTCCCATGTCTCAGAACATACTAAAGCCATAGGCACAGCTTGACAGCCAGGCAACTAACATTTTTAGGAAGAGAGGTAAAGGATGGACACCCTCATATTTTCCTTGGTGCAGGTTTCCTTTAAAGTGTATTTAAAGCAAAAGCAAGGTTTAGAACCCTTGTCATGTTCTCTTTTTTTCTCTATGGCCCATTAGGTAGATTTCCCTTTACTTCCTGTCACTGAGACATAAAAGTGAGTGAAAATCTCTCTAAAGTGCGCGCAATCCCCTCTTGGACAGTTTTTTTTAAAGCTGTCCACATTGAATGATTTTCCCTCTGTTTCTGTTCTGGTGACATCGGGGGAATTTCCCATCACCATTTACTGTGGTGACAATGATCATCAGGGAGCGACTCTCCATAGCTGGAATGCAGACAGCACTAAACACCTAAAAGAAAAGTGATGACGCCACGCCAATGTTCATGTAGTCCAGAAAAGTTTTAATTAAATAATTGGTAAATAAAAGAAAGCCGACGCATTTTGGGGGTTTGTACATTCCCCCTTCTTCAGGGCCACAATAGAAATAAAAAAAGGTATAAAAATTCATAAGGTTATACAACGAGATAAAATACATGTTTCATATAAAGAATCTAATAGACATGTGCACTGCCAAAAAATTTGTTTAGTTTCATTTTGTTTTAAATTCGGATTTGTGTTATTTTGTTTTTCGGGATTCGTGTGTGAAAGTCAATTCGGATTCGGAATTCGGATACGGACCAAATTCGTTAGCGGTAGGTCGAACGTTCGTTTCGTTTTCTGTTCTTATTCGTTTCGTTCGTTCGTGACATTTGAGGGGGGGAAAATATTTTTCTCCTTCTCTAATGTCCCTTTGCTCCAACGAACGAAACGAATAAGAACCGAAAACGAAACGAACGTTCCAACTACCGCTACCGAATTTCGGAAATGGAAATTCGGATTCGTTTGCATTCGTTATGTCTGTAATTCGGAATTCGGATACATCCGAATGTCCGAATTTCGGAAAATTCGTCCGAATTTCGATTCGGAACGAAACGAATCGCACATGTCTAGAATCTAATAAGAAATTGTTATATTAAATTAGATCCTTTATAATGTAAACCTGCAATATATATTATTGTATGAACTTGACTTTTAACCTTTTTTATTTGTCTTGTAGCCTTGATGAAGGAGGAGTGTCTGAACCCCTGAAACACAATGGGGGGAATTTATCAAAGCACTTGCGACAGTTTTAGCCTCTTAGATCATTTGTTTTCATGTGCAAATCTGTCTTTTACTATGTGCCCCTGTTTTGACCAGAGCTTGCACTACTTTTTCAGTTGCACTTTTTTTGCACATGTTTTGCACCTGTTTTGATCTGCGCTTGTTCTGCGGCTGTCTGAAACGGGTGCATCACCTAAGAAAACAATCACAACTTAAAAAGTCCCCATGACCACTTCTTTAAGAAGTGACAGTTAAAGGAGAACTATGGGGTTAAGGCTTTTCCCCATAGTTCTCCTTAGGGTAACGGGAGGACACAAACTAGCGTCCTCCCGTCACCCTAGGCTCAGTATACCGCGAGCTGCTGCTCGCGGTATACTGAGACGGCGCCGCTGAAGCAGATCCCGACAATTGTGCCGGGATCCGCCCAGCTGCGTGACTGACAGCTGGCTCTGCCTATCTAGAGGCAGAACCAGCTGTACCCGCATCATTGGCTTTCTTTTTCTAACAATTATTTAAATACTTTAATGAACATTTTTGTGGCGCCATTACTACTTTCTGGAAATGTGGACTTCTCTCAGGACCCGCCTTTTTGTTGGGGATACTCTGGTGTATGTGAGAAGCCTCACCACAGCAAGTCACCTTAAAGTGACACTAAACTCAGGAGTTAAACCCTAAAAATGTATTCACGTACCTTAGTTATTAACAAAAATGTATCTTATTTGTGTATCGCTCGGCTGTAGATCCTCCAATCATCTCTGAATTGGTGCGGACACTGTCCTTCCTTCTGGAGGGGGGCTACTTTTGTTCCCCATGGTCCCTGTGTGTGTTGTAAAGTAGTCACCGCTCCAAGCTCACTCCCGTGATGGACTACAATCTCAATACAAATCAGTAAACTAAATATTAGATTGTAGTCCATCACAGGAGCGAGCTTAGATTGGTGACTACTTTACAAAACACACACAGGTATCATGGGGAACAAAAGTAGCCCCCCTCCAGAAGGAAGGACAGTGTCAGCACCAATTCATAGATGATTTGAGGATCTACAGCCGAGCGATACACAAATAAGATACATTGTTGTTAATAGTTAAGGGACTTGAATGTATTTTTAAGGTTTAGCTCTGGAGTTTAGTGTCACTTTAATTAATAATCATTTACAATATTGGTTATTGAACGTTGGGGATTCTGCACCTTTTATGCATGTATCCAGCAATAAAAACCTGACAGGGGTTCCAAACCCTCCTTACTCTATCCAAAACTAATACAAAATCTGTTGGCTTTAAATCCACTTTAGAGATACATAGAACTACATCCTCCTTATTTATACAGCAGCAGCTTATTGGGGGGGAAAAAATCTTTCTAAGTAACTTACGCATTCCAACAAGCATGACTCCTCAGGGACTGTTGGTGGCTGTAGAAATGCTTGTCTTTTATAAAGATGTTTTTAAAGCTTTTTAGAAATAATTGGGTTTCCTTTGTCAACGTGTCTGAAATGAGTACGTGGGTGCTGCCCCAGTGCAGGCAATGGAAGGGGCAGTACACAGAATATACGGGAGGTTCTGATTGGCTGCTGTGGAGCAGCACAGACACTTCCTATTATAAATACTTTCACAGGCGGAGCTCTATAACAGTGGTAGGTAACCTTGGCACTCCAAGGCAAAGGCATGATGGGATTTGAAGTTTCACCACAACTGTAGTGCTGAGGTTGCTTACCCCTGCTCTATACCTTTACACTTGTTTTGGGCAATATTTGCCTGGGGTGTGATGATAACATATATGTATTTGTTGTGTGTCCTGTCGGGTGATTTGTTGTTGGGCACCATGTTTCTGTAAAGTATAAGTATCGTATAAATAAAATTATTTTGCTAATATATTCTATGTTTTACATTTTCATTGATTGCTAAACTGTTTTGTTAATGGGGGCTTAGATTAAAATGGAAAATATAAGTTCTATTTCCCCAATGGCGAAGTGAAGGGGAACATCCAATCATATAGGATCTACTTACCCAATGGTGAAGGGAAACATCCAATCATATAAGTTCTACTTACCCAATGGTGAAGGGAAACATCCAATCATATAAGTTCTACTTACCCAATGGTGAAGTGAAGGGGAACATCCAATCATATAAGTTCTACTTACCCCATGGTGAAGGGGAACATCCAATCATATAAGTTCTACTTACCCCATGGTGAAGGGGACCATCCAATCATATAAGTTCTACTTACTCAATGGTAAGGGGAACATCCAATCATATAAGTTGTTCTATTTACCCAATGGTGAGGGGGAACATCCAATCATATAAGTTCTACTTACTCAATGGTAAGGGGAACATCCAATCATATAAGTTGTTCTATTTACCCCATGGTGAGGGGGAACATCCAATCATATAAGTTCTACTTACCCCATGGTGAAGGGGACCATCCAATCATATAAGTTCTACTTACTCAATGGTAAGGGGAACATCCAATCATATTAGTTCTATTTACCCAATGGTGAAGAGAAGTGCAGCATCCAATCATATAACTTTTTTTATCAGCACCGGATCCACACCAGTCACTGCAAGGGCCAGGGGTGTCCCTCTAATGTGGCAGGCTGAGGTGGTTGTATCCCCGAGTTTTCCTTAAACACTCCAAACTCATTTACTTTTCCCATTTCCTCTGGCCCTGTCCTAGTATGTGGTGTGTTCTTGGCAACATTTTCTAATGAGCAAAATTCCACATGGACTAATACACACGCACACACCTGCTCAAACATAAATGCATACACAATAGGTTGGACTTGATGGACTTATGTCTTTATTCAACCTCAAATGCTATGTTACTATATGTAACTATGTAATGACTTTGTCATTTGATGGCTATTCATGGATTGTCTTTAGTAATAGAATCTGTCAGATTTTAGCATTGTGCGTGTCATAGCCTCCAATCAAATCTGTGCAACTGTTTGGGGGTCTGAAGCTGTTTTCTAGCCGAAAATTGATATTTTATCATGTGTGTGCAAATAGAAAGAAAATGCTCCGGGCAGCAAGTGGTTAATAATCTCTAACCAATATTATATATGCATGTACATTGGTAAAAAAAAATTCATTATAGAATGATGAGCGACAGCAGTGCCAGACCCCGGTGAAATGAGAGTAGGAGGAACAATCCCACATTTTGGGGGTGTAAACCCCCTTTCTCATGTACCTTCTGCAGTCAGAATGCACATACACAGCTCAGTGCACATTCTCAGCCTCTGTGCCGGGATGAATGCGCACAAGAGGGACAATATCCCAGCCTAGCCAATCAAGAAGCCAGGAAGAAGATGTTGGACCAGCGAGGAAGCCTGCATACATTGCATTGTTGGGCTGCAGGAGAGTATAGTTCCTTATGAAAGCTTTGAGAATTGAGCCTACTGGACGTTTTATAATAAACATCCTTATCCCGGTGCGTTAGCTCTGTGAATCATGTCTGGTATTTGTAAGTAATGTTTTATTTCAGATAAATCTGTTGAGTGTGGCCAGCATAGGAAGTAGTGCACTCGCCTGCTCTCCAGCACCATCCAGTGCAGTAATACTTTTCCACCACAAGATGTCCTCAGTCTTCCAGCATCATCCCGTCTACTGTTTTTTGGGGAAGACCGCCATACATGGCTCAATTTTCTCTAGTTCATCCTCGCTAACACTACAGATGGAGGAATCTCCACTGCCGGCTATTGTATTCAAGCAGGCCTTGGACTGGTGATGTCAGGCCTGGTGTATTAAGTGGACCTTCAATTTAAGTGGAAGGTTCACTTTAAGCACTTCACTTTGCATGGAGGTAATACAAAAAATTTACAGGAAAAAAAAATAATTGCACACACGCGGACATCCAAATGTGTCCCCCTTGGCGGCCCTTCTCTTCCTTGTGTTAGAACCGTAACAGGGGCAAAAGAGCCCCCTTCCTCTTCTCTAAGTCGGAGGCTGTTGGAATCAGAGCAATATCCAGGGGTAGGCAACCTTGGTACTCCAGCTGTGATGGAACTACAAATTCCATTATGCCTCTGGCTTTGGGAGACATGCCTGTGGCTGTCACAGTCTTGCAATGCTTCATGGGACTTGTAGTCCTTGTGTGGCTCCTTCTGAGACAATCTATTGATATAAAAGGCTTACTGTAGCTCATATATTGCATGAAGCGTTGTGCTGGGTCAGCACAGAACAACGTTATGCCTGCTAAAAACAGACCCAATGGTTAGTGGGGCCGATGGAAGAGAGATCGGTCGATATGCTGAGATGTTGCCCAGAAAAACCAATCAGCTCTTGCAAACCGACCAGTTCACCCAGTTGTGGGAGCTCCAGCTTCCCACCACTTACTAGAAAACCAATGGGGTTCAACTTTTATTATGACATAGGGGATTATTAGGAAAGGGTTTCCCTCCACTCTGACATCACTGCCCACTGCGCTTTTTCCATTTTACTCATCAAGAAAAGCCCATTTAGACCAGTGGTCATACTATACTGTATATACAGCCAAGCCAAGTTTTGGATTGAGTAGTGAAGGGTTAAATGTGTTTTTTGCTCTATGTGTCCTGTTGGAGAGATGTTCCCTTACTTCCTGTCCCAGCGATGTGACAGGAAATGGAAGGAAGCCTCTACAAATGGGAAGTCCCCTCTGAGACAGTTGTCACCCGAACAGGCATCCCCACTAGGGATGAGCTGAGCTCCCCTGAACACAGAAGGAAGCTCCTTCTGCTGCCACCCAATCAGCTGCAGCCAGGGAATTCCCCACTTGCACCTGCTCATAGCAAAGTGGCAGGATGATGTGATGTCATTGCCCTTATATGGCCGTATGGCTATACTTGGTCAATGTCATTGCCCTTATATTGTCATATAAGGTCAATGATGTCAGCGCAAGCCTCCCGCCTCTCTGTTTATGTGCAGCTGTGGGGCCAGGAATTCCCCCAGCTCGCAGCTGATTGGCTGAGTGGCCTTATGTCACTTCTGGGTTCAAAGGGCTGCAGGTTCGGACCAGGTTCGGACCAGGTTCAGTCTGAACCTGAACTCTTCCCTAGTCATCATTGCTCTGGTTCCAAATTTTGGAATTGCCATCAATTTCTGTATCAATGCTGACCAGAAAATATAAAGAAGGTGAACCTACCAGACAGCAATAAAACCTAATAGGGTTCTAATCTGAAAAAAAAAGTTTGGGTTATGCATACACTTTAAAACCAATGTACCGCCATGACACAATAGCCATATCACATAGACCACCTGAGCAGAACACTTTTGAAAATATTTTACAAATGCTGAACAGATATACAATACCTATAGTTTAATTGCTAAAACCAAAATCCTACTGCCACACCCAACATGTCTGCCACAACCAACATGGCGCCATCACACGGCTGCTCTGCCCAGATCCGGAGATGGAATCCTGTCCAGAAGGTCAGAGCAGCGATAAATATACCATATGGGAATACAACGCTCCCGGTACGGCGATTGTTGCCACAACCAAGATGGCGGCTATGAGGGGGACGCCTGGCTCCCGGAGGTCACGTGACCGGAACATCGCGAGATTTGGTGGCCCGGACGCAGCTGAGCAGCCTGGAGGCTGGAAGAGGCTGGAGCTGCAGAGAGTGAGCCGGGGACGGGAAGGTAAACAGGGGGACTCGGTGTTTCTGCTGCCGCCATGCCGGGTCTGTACGCCTCACAGTGCAGGATATAGTAACGAGAACCTGTCACCACTCACACACTCCCAAGAGCAGTCTAAGCTTGTCAGGCAGCAGTGACTATTATCAGCAACGCTACATTAGTCCCTGAGGACCCCTGAGTAAAGCCTGAGGGGTCCCACTGCTGGGTGCAGGCACTTTTGTTTGCACCACCTCTTTGTTCCTTATTTATATAGCACTGGCATGTTTTAAAAAGAGCCACCGTGCTGTCTGGCAGGCTGTGCCTGGGTCATGGGACTGGCTGGACTGAATTGCAAATCCTTTGGTAGGTAAAAAGATTCCTGCATATGTGTGTCTTTAGCTGTTTGGCTTTCAAAGTGCAATTTAGTTCAAAGTAAACCCCAAATGTGTGCCTGGAAGTGATGCCTTCAGTGCATTTGGCATGTAATAAAATGAACATGATTGTTCCATGGGGAGGAGTAGCTAGCAGAGTGCTGGTACCCACTATAGGGTATTGCATGTATTTAGAGTTGATTTGCAAGGCATCAGCAAGCTTCAGGGGGGTGACTGGGAGTGGAAATGACTGAAGGCACCAAGGGGTCTCCTTCTACACAGCAGGGAGGTTCAGGTTTAGTGCAGCATCACTTTGAAGCACCCCTTTAATTTTATATTATGACAAAAAACCCCCTCCCCTCCCCCCGAATAAAATAATTTGAATAAGAATCTATTTCCCTTTCATCCTTGTCTCTTAGGCCATTCCTGCATGCAGCATCGACGTCTGTGGGCCATCGCAGCAACCTCGGAAAGCTGAGGATCCGGAATCTTGCCATGAAGACACTCCGGCACTATGGGGGAGCATGTTCCTCGGAGATTCGGCATCCTCGGCGTTCCCAGGATTTTGCTGGAAGGCCCATGACTCCTCCTTAGTCTAGGAGCTGCGGAAGTCGCGGTATTGTTCTTCCTATGTGTGTTGTTTTTTTTCCCTGCGTTTTGTTACGGGGCTCCCCACCATGTTAGGTGGACAACTTTTTCCTGACTTCTGCATGAATGTATTTTCTATTGGGTCACCCTACCAGCAGGCCTCGGATGTCATGCACGTTGTTGAAGAGGAATTTAAAAGATGAACCCTTGAAGTGGGACTACCCCCTGCGATACAAGAGTTACCTGTTCGTTTTGGTCAAATAAAAGCAATATACTGTTCTCGCCTGATTCTCTATCCTGCCTGGCTGCTAGACCGGTCCCTTCAGCCTCTTCTCTCCCCGGTCTAAGGCTGGCTGATGTCGTCATGTCTAATGCAGTCCGTTCACCTGCATTATACATGAGGATGCCGAGGGTCATACCACAGCCGAAGAGAGGGGAGTGCTGACCGCCGCAGGACTGAAGATCAGGGGAGTAAATCTTCTGTATTCCGGCCTCTAGACCAGAACGAGTTAACCTCTGGGGTAGCCCCACTGCAAGGGTTAATTTTTTTTAAATGGAGTTCCTCCTGAAAGGCTAATTCCACTTATTTTCTCACAGTCCATCCATATATAGGGTGTAACATAGGACATGGTGAAGTGTGTGTGTCAACGCTCCTGCATGTTTTTCAATAGGTCGGGTCACATCTGCCACTGCTGCAGAGGGACTCCTAGTTGGAGCACGGGTACAGTGACGTCACCGCACTTGTAGTCCATAGATAACTTCCTCCAGCCCCCATAACAGAAGGTCTATACCTTGGTACAGAGCTGGAGGTACAGTGTGGAGGAGCTTATGCATTGCACCTTTGATCACGGTTGCAATGCTTTTCAGACTCGATGCAAATTACTAAGGAGGACCTGTACCCATATCTTCCAAATAACAGCAAACACACCTTAAAAAAAACGTTTAGTGACGACAATCTACAAACGTATACTTCTAGATAATTGGCGGCTTTGTATTCTTTGCATTCCTTATTTTCTTTTCCTCTCCAATCTTCTCACAGCGGCCATTTTTTACTAAGGGCAGATTAGCATATCTCCATTTACTTCCTGGAACTCTGGCACATGTGACTAGGACATGTGACCTATAAATGAATGTAGAACAGGTCACTCGCACTCCAGATTAATTTTTTAAAGTTTATTGACCTCTCCTCGTGTCACATTGTCAAGCCACGTTTTGGAACCACGCAGGAATCACTTGTTTGCCTGAAGACGGACCTGCGTGGTTCTGTAATGTCGCTTGACAATGTGACACGACGAGAGGTCAATAAACTTTGACTGAAAATTTGTCTGGAGTGCGAGTGACGCTTTTCTACGTTCATTTATTAATACACGGAGGTATCCATAGTCACTCTTTGCACCCACCCAACTCCAAAGGGTTTTCTATTCAGTCAGGATGGCGATGGGTTTCGTTTGAATATTGAACTAGGACATGTGACCACGCCCATCATCTCAGGGGAGCAAAATGCCTTTCCCTGAGATCTCGTGAGATTACAGATGAGATTTCCCAGCAATGCTCTGCTGATGTAACCTTCCCAGGATGCAATGCTTGGGCACGATTACATCACTTGTGCCAAAGTGTACCAGGAAGTGGGGGAAAAAAGGAATTGTAAGTAAAATAAAAATATGTTTGTGTAGCTAATGAATGTAAGATGGTTTCATATCGGCATGCAGAGCTGCACGCTGATGTGATTTTCAGTTAAAGGTCAGCTTTAATAAATGCACATTTAGCCTTTTAGCAAAAAGTGGAATATGTATTTACAGTGGCCACTGCCTTTTATTTTAAAGTTGAATTAAACCTTCTTCTTTTTTTGTGCATATATCTACTGCTAGCAAGCAATAGATATATGCAAAAACATAAAAAACGTTACCAAAAAGGTAAATTACCTGTGTCTCCGCCGCTCACTCCGGTCTGAAGATCTGAAGGCTCATGGGGCGGGCCCATGCGCAGTACAGACCTTCGGCGGGGAGAAGAGGAGAGACACAGGTTAAGTCAATACAGGCAGCATGAACGCACAAAGACACCGTGGGACATAGAAGACCCAGCAGTCAGCGCTGGAGGGACTCCTGAAAACTACTGGAAAGAAGAAGATGCTCCTATTAACAGGCATCATCTAAGGTAAGTCCTCAAAGCGGCATTGGGGGTGAGTGGAGGAAATTTGACTTTAATGTCACTTTAAAGGCCACCCTGTGCTTCAGCTTTAGAATGATCTTGTGTTTTGCTCATGCAGGCTGCAGCAACCGGTTTATTGAATGAACTTCTCCCCTGTAGCTTACACTTGCCTCACTATTGCTCCATCTAGCCAGGAGTGAACAGAGAACTCATAGTTCTGATATGTGAGCATCTTACACTGTTTTGTGTCATTTGCTTTAGGCCATGGATAATGTTTTCATCCAGCACAGCGTCAAGGTGCTCCAAGCGCTCAATAAGCAGAGAGAAGATGGCCGGTACTGCGATGCCACACTCATCGTGGGAGATCTTCAGTTTAAAGCCCACTGGAGCATCCTGGCTTGTAGCAGCCCCTTCTTCCAGAGCCTGTATGGAGACGGCAGCTCCCCAAACATTATCCTTCATGAACGGTTCTCTGAGATCACGGGCCTCCTCCTGGATTTCCTCTACACAGGAGAGCTGGCTCTGTCCCACCACAATGTGGAGAAGGTCCTGTTAGCCTCCAAGGAGCTGGGCGTTTTTGAAGCCGTTGAGGTCTGCGAACGCTTCCAGCCCAAGTGTTTTGAACCCGTCGATCAGACTGAAGTTTTTTTCCAACAACCTGGGCCATTGGAAACCTTAAATGGGCACTTGAAGGAGGCCGAGGAGTCGGATGGAGAGGAGGGGCTTAAGGGAATTTCGGAGCTCAGCAACGTATTGGCAGACACTGAAGTCCCGTCGGGGCAAAGCAGTGAACAGGACAGCAGCCTTGGCCTGCTCCAAGGGACGGTGGAGATTACCCCATTTCAAGAAGTTGTTCTGAAGGACCCGGACATGGGGGAGAGGAGGGAGTTTAAGAGGCAAAGGAGAGGGCAGAAGAACGAGCAGTGTATTGGCAGCGATGGAGACTGTATAACGGTAAATAAACCATCTTTTATGTTTTTGTGTAGCCGGTGTTGTCCTAGCAGCCAGCTAGTACTCCTCTCCATTCAGAACAGACATCCTGATCCTCTGGAGTTGGGCTTTAAAGGTAACCGGGGAAACATGGAGGCCACCATTGCTGGCCTGCAGGTAACCTGGGAAACATGGAGGCCACCATTGCTGACCTGCAGGTAACCTGGGAAACATGGAGGCCACCATTGCTGACCTGCAGGTAACCTGGGAAACATGGAGGCCACCATTGCTGACCTGCAGGTAACCTGGGAAACATGGAGGCCACAATTTGCTGACCTGCGGGAAACATGGAGGTCATCATTGCTGACCTGCAATTTCTTTGTTTGGCTATAATGCCAATCTAATGGGTTGAATGCTTTGAGTCACTGTCCTGAAGCAGGCATGTAGCTGAGACGTTCCAGACTTGATATGACTGCACTTGCTGCCAGGTCAGTGACTTAGAGGGGAATTGAAGACAGAGGGTTTTCAGGTCAGAAATGTCATCCTGCATATTTATCTCAGTATGTTGTGTTTAAAGTAGACCGCTTTGTGATTGGCTTTCTCAGGTGTCCACCAACAAGTGGAGTCTGACAGAAGGCTATAAAATAAATCATCTGAAGTCAGATGTCCCCTTTTTAAAGTCATAATATTTTTAATAATTGACTATTCCATTGCAGTGGGAGTTGGAGGTGGACCAGATACATGATGTCATAGCAGATGGCTCAGATTATATGGAGGATGACCTGGATGAAGACTTTGTTCTGGACCGGAAGATACCAAGCTCCAAGAGAAGGTCCTGCGCACCAAAGAAGATCATTCCTTTGGAATCCTCTACCATTGACTCCTTGACTGATGGAGAGCTGAAGAACAAGAAAATTGCCAACTCTCCCGTAGAATGCCCCATATGTCACAAGAAGTTCCTCAGCAAGTATTACCTTAAAGTTCATAACAGGTAATACAACAAGGCCGTGCTCACCAGGCTGTAGATTTTCTGTGTTTAGTTTTTATAGGACAAAAGCATTAAAGGAGAACTTTGAGGTGAGTGATTTACACTCATCCCAATAGAGCCGACATGTGACATTGAAACCGTCACAGGTCGGGTCTATTGATCGGGAAGTGAGCGAAAACATACCGCTGCTCGCTTACTTTCCGATCATCTCCCTGCAGAGAGTAGTGACTATTGGTCACCTCTCCCCGCAGGGATTCCACCCTCCCTTCTCTTATCCACCAGCGCTGACTGGGGGAACAGGCGGGGTAGGGGGTGGGCATAGCTGGGCTCTGCGTCTAGATAGTCAGAGCCTGCTGTCAATCAGCCAGCTGGGTGGATCTTGACAGTATTGTCGGGATCTGTCCCGGCTGCGGCGCTCTCCGTATATAGCGGGCAATAGCTCATTATATACTGAGCTTTGGGTCTCGGGAGGAGGTTAGTATATGTCCTCCCGTGACCCTAAAGAGAACTATGGGATAAAAAGGTTACCCCATACAGGGGTGTGGAAATTTTGGAAAAAACTACTTGTCCAAGGACTAAAGCGGGGGCCGAATCTACTTGTCCTGATACAAAAAAAATAATTTTAACCAAAACCGTATTTAGCAGTGCTAAGAAGCGCTTCTCATTGGTCCGTGCCGTCAGGTGACCGCGCTGATCAACGAGTGCTTGCAATTTGCGAGCGAAATTCAGAATACATGGAACAGGTACAGATAGTACACCCGTACTGGTGGAGGGGGAAGGACCGTTCACCGAAAGGTAAGTATAGTGGGGGGGAGATTTGTGCGGGTAATTCCATTTCCCCAAATTACTTGGGAAAGTGAATTTACCCTTTAGGGTGGGTGCAGACCTGCGGGTTCCCGGGACGTGTGATCGTGTGCGGTAGCCTCCGCATGTATGGGGTTACATCTGCGTGGCAATCGCTGAAAAAAAGGTACATGTACCTATTTTCACGACATGCACCGCGCAGTGTTTTCAACCGTGATCTTGTGGGATCGCCCGGGCGGTATTGCTGGAGGAAAACGCGCAATCTGCCTGGCATGACTGGGGTGCCATTAGAGAATAATGGCACTGACCGCACGATCGGCGGTGGTGTGCGATTCCGTGACCACCCAGCCATCTGCTCGGTTTCGTGCACGATGACCGGGCAGTTACAGATCGCACACCACCGCCAATCCCGCTGGCAATGCCATTATTTTCTAATGGCAGCCCCAGTCGTGCCAGGCAGGTTGCAGTGTTTTCCGAGCGGTAGCACACAATCGCAGTTTATTCACATGCAGATGGGGCAGGTTTTAATTTTTTATTTACTTTGTAAAACATTTTCATTTGTTTTATTATTTTTACATTTTTAATTAAGTTACATTTTTAACTATTTTTTTTTTTTAACTATTCTTTTTTTAAACTATTTCTTTTTTTAAACTTTTTTTTTTTAAACTTAACTGTAGTGCTATCACACAGTGATAGCATTTGGAGGTGACAGGTTCTCTTTATTGACCCTGTCACCTCCAACACAGGAGTTCTAGCACAGCTCTGTGCTAGAACTCCTGTGACAGAAAGCAGCAGCCGCCAGGGACAGAGGGAGGTGACAGAGCCCTCCCGCTCCAGCCCCGCCCGCCGCTCTCAGCGCTGCACGCTTCGGGCCACGCCCCCTGCTCTCGGCGATCCACGCCCCCCACTCGCAGCGCTGCTCTCGCCGGTCCACGCCCCCCGCTCGCAGCGCCGCTCTCGCCGCTCGTCAAACCAGCCCTGCTACTTATCCGTTAGCAGGGCTAAAACAGTGAACAAACTACTTGCCCGGCGCCCGAAACGACATGTCCCGGGCGTCGGGCGATACGAATTCCACACCCCTGCCATAGTTCTGTTTTAAATAGTTGACAGTGTTGACTAGTTATTATTTGTCTGAGGGTGTCAGGATGACCCAGCACTTAAGGCTGAATATTGCAGGAAAAAACTGGTTCTTGACGTTGCTCTGCTGATAATTGGACCGGTTCTTTTACTATTGAGGCCAACAAATATGTACTTGATGGCATACGTCCGGCATTAGAGGTGTGGTAATGTTGAGAGCTGTATCGTCATGCAGGTCTCTTCAATGGTCCGGTGCCTCACTAAGGAACATTTGGCTACAAGTAGCATGATCTGTTTTGGGTCTGATCATTCACAATGCAGGCCAGATCTAACCGATGTGGACCTCTATCACTTGCACTAAGTGTCCATGTTGCCTGGGGGGGACAAGGGAAAACCTCGTTAAAATAACCCTACACATCTACTGACTTTACTTTCCACCCTGTTCCATATTCAAGTCTCTTTGGTATCCAAGTTAAAAGCTGTTTCCCCAGTCATCTTCCAGGACAGCCATCGAGATATAGGCTCCGCCTGCCTGCAACAGGAAACACATCAACCACATTAAATAAATAGACTCCTCCTTCCATCCCAAGACAGTTTTTTTGTGTTTCCGCCGGCTACACAGGGACATCGTAATGTTATTTTTAGGGCTCATGTTTGTTTGCCTTTGGGCTGAGCCTTACTCTGCTAGGCATTGGGACCTACTCCAGGCTTACCTGCTGCAGTGCCTACAGGGATTCCCTATCGGACCCCCACCCGATGTGTCCTTATAAAATGGATGGACAAGGAATGCTTTTTAAATTTTGCTGGCTTCCTTACGGAGATTGTCAACACAATGAGCACCTATGTCAACAGGCTAATGGCTGCTGGAATCAATCTTAGCTGATTGTAACTGCTAGTTATACAGAGTCTGTTCAGGATACAAAGACTTTGAGAGTCTATTAAGGAATTTTACATTAAAGGTAACCTGTCATTCAGGGCACAGTGACAGGGGCTAGCCCGCCTAGCAAGGTTTACTCACCATTGCCAGAGTTCAGATGGAGTAACCTCCAGTGTTGGAGCATACCCGGGTGGATGATGTCACTGCCCACTGCCTCATTTGTATTGCCTTTTTTTAAGTACAGGTAAAGCCAAACTTTTTGGCATTTTGGATGGACTAGAGAATAGTTAAAACCCCGTTCAGGTATCCCATTGGGGAGACTTCCTGTAACAGGAAGTGAGAGGAAATCCTTCCAAAGTGAGGGAAGTGCCCTCTTACACAGATGTCACTAGAACAGTGTCCCCATTGGAACACTTCCCCTCTATTCATGTTCTGAAACCACTGAAAGGTTTGGATTCTCCCTCACTTTAGTCACAGAACAATGGTCTCCAGAACAAAGAGATGGGGAATCTCCCTAACGGGCAGACATTGATAAGGGTTCGGTTAGAACTTATAACCCCCCAAAGCTAAAAAAAAGTTTTGGCTTTTCATACGCTGCAAGGAAAGGTCCATTGCTTCGGGCACCAACCCTTTACACATGATGACAGTTGGTTCTCTGGTATTGCCTGCAGTTTTCTGTCATGGCCCTGATATGTTTTTGCTTTGTTTCACCAGAAAGCACACAGGGGAAAAGCCTTTTGAATGTATGAAGTGCGGTAAATGTTACTTCAGGAAGGAAAACCTATTGGAACATGAAGCCCGAAACTGTATGAGCCGAACTGAACAGGTAAGTCTCTAAGTCGGATGTGTAGAAATTTGGTGCAAGGATGTTCCACCTTGTAGTAAAGTGACACTAAACTCAGGAGTTAAAACTTCAAAATACATTCAAGTACCTCAACTATTAACAACAATGTATCTTATTTGTGTATCAGTCGGCTGTAGATCCTCAAATCATCTCTGAATTGGTGCTGACACTGTCCTTCCTTCTGCAGGGGGGCTACTTTTGTTCCCCATAGTCCCTGTGTGTGTTGTAAAGTAGTCACCGCTTCAAGCTCGCTCCCATGATAGACTACAATCTCATGTTTAGTTTACTACTTTGTTTTGAGATTGTAGTCCATCACAGCAAGCTTCTCACAATGTGAATTGGAAGCTGCAGCAAATCGTATAGATCACACTTCGTTTCTTGGTCTGAGGACATGCAACATTTTCTGTCCTTTTCTTCCCCAGCCTTACTGCCCCCGGTCTGTTATCATTCATTACATTTCAATTCTGTCAATCATGGAGGCTCCGCATCACACGTGGGTGTTACAGACTCGCATCAACCCATAATTAATTTAATATTTGCATAACTCCTCCTAAGAACCAGCCCACAGCTTGCATTAGGATTAAGGGATCTTAAGAGTATTACTGAGGCAGGGTGCTGTAATGTTTTCAAGGACCTATGTACAGCACCCTGCTGGCCCCTCCCACCAGCCATGGTCGGCTTGCATTGCATAGAGAAGCACAGAAACCCAAAGATGATATCACTGGGCCTAGGATAAGATATATGTAATGAACATGTTTTACTTTAAATATCCCAAGCATGTAGATGAAGTGGTAAACAAGCAAGAAAGGCAAGATTTAAAATTCAGCTTTAAAGCTGAGTTTTGGTCAACTGATAAACATCTGCTAAGGTTCCAGTGCTCGTTTATCCTCTGTAGATATAACAGAGAAATTATCACCCTATTTCTAGCCCTCGGGCCCCTTCCACTGTGGCTCCAGCCTCGGAATGTGGAACCTCTCCGTCCTCCACTGTTCCTTCATTGTACGCGAGGGTGCAGGCACAGAGCCAGCAAAGTGGAGCAGTTGTCCGGTTAGGAGGAAGCCAGTGGGATCGAGAAGTAAGTAATTCTATCTTTCACATGCCCTCTAGACTAAACGAGCATTAGATCCTTATTATACAGATAGGGCTGGGGGCTCTCCAAAGAGGTTTATCAGCGTGACTGGAGTTACTGTGACACCGAATGGGTACTCAATGAAATCACACATCTTAATGACAACAAATGAAATCGCATTTTCTGCATACAAAAGGAGGATACATATAAACCAGGTTGTGATATTGCTCTAAGGATCCAATTTCCTTTTACTTTTGCAGGTGTTTAATTGCACGTCTTGTCACGAGGTGTTCAAAAGGAGGATGGAGTTGCGGCTACATATGGTGTCCCACACTGGAGACATGCCTTATAAGGTGAGCGCACGGACTGTACTGGTTACATGTAATATATAGGACTTGGCATGATAATGGAAGGCACTGCAGAAGTCTATATAGACGTTAACGGACGTTCTGGCTGTGGCTTTAAAGTAAAACCCGACCATTGCATTGCCTGTATTTTGTAGATTGATATATATAATAACACAGATTGGTCTCCATTTCCACCTCTCTCTCTCATCATGTTTCCTTTGCTAAGTTGGCCAAAGTCTAATAGTTCTGTTACATTTGTGCCCATAGAGAATCGTTATACTTAGGTCATGCTGCCATGGCAGGGCCCACAAGGATGGTCTCTGTATCAGCGCTGCTCTCCTCTATTGTCAGTCTTTACATTTTCTAGCTGTGGTTTGTAGTTGTCAACTGTCCATTTTCTCCTCCATCACCTATAAGCATCATAATGGGTACTCACCAGCTCCTTATAACCCCATGTACTATACATGGAGGTCAATATTTGCTTTTGTAAACTCCTTTCCCCGCTCCCGGCCCGTTCCTCTCTTGAGCTCACTTTCATCCTTCTCGTGTATGTACATGGGGGTCATAAAAAAAAAAAAAAGCTGAGTATAGGGCTGCAACAACTAATCGATAATAATCGATTATGAGAATAGTTGGCAACTATGAGAGAGTGATTTTTTAATACAACTAATCGAAGTTAATAATCGGCTAACTGATTATGAAAATAATCGTTTGCTGTAGCTGAGTACACCTTCTGATGGGTGTTTGCAGTGGTGGTGGTAGAGTACAGGTTGCTGGGACAGTAAGCTGTCAGAGATATATGAAGAGTTAGGTGTGAAGGATCAATTATAATTCAGCTTTTCAAAACATCGCTGTGACACCAAACTCTTTTGCAACATCTTTATGAAGGCCGTATACAAAATCTGTACAGCTTCATATACAGAGAAGTTTAAAATGACGCTAAACTCGGGCGTTAAATATAAAAAATGCATTCAAGTACCTGAACTATAAACAAAAATGTATCTTATTTGTGTATCACTCGGCTGTAGATCCTCCAATCATCTCTGAATTGGTGCTGACACTGTCCTTCCTTCTGGAGGGTGACTACTTTTGTTCCCCATGGTCCCTGTGTGTGTTGTAAAGTAGTCACCGCTCCAAGATCACTCCCGGGATGGACTACAATCTTAACCACTTCAAGACCAGGTGTTTAGACCCCCTTCCTGGCCAGGCCATTTTTCAGTATTCAGCGCTGCGGTACTTTGACTGACATTTATTCCGTCATGCAGCGCAGTACTGAAATGAATTTTATACCATTTTTTGGGGACAGATAGAGCTTTCTTTCGGTGGTATTTAAACACCACTGGGGTTTTTATTTTTTACTATAATTTTTTGGTAAAATATAAAAGATCGGGTCATGTCGGGTAAATAGACACCAAACATGTCAAGCTTTAAAATTGCGCGCACCCGCGACATCGCAGAAAACTACAATACCCAAAATGTCCCATAGGCGACACTTTAAAAGCTTTTAACGCTCATCAGTTTAGTGTTATCAGTGATTGATGGCCCTAGACTTATTGATGCGCGCCGCCGAAGGGGTGTGTCTGAGCGCCCGCTCAGATCTAAAGAGCTCCGGGCCAGCCGTTTTTTTACTACGGCCGGCCCGGAGGTGGTTAATACAAATTATTAAACTAACATGAGATTGAAGTCCATCCCAGGAGTGAGCTTGGAGCGGTGACTACTTTACAACACACACAGGGACCACGGGGAACAAAAGTAGCCCCCCTCCAGAAGGAAGGACAGTGTCAGCACCACTTCAGAGATGATTGGAGGATCTACAGCCGAGTGATACACAAATAAGATATAATTTGGTTAATAATTAAGGTATTTGAATGCATTTTTAAGATTTAACTCCTGAGTTTAGTGTCACTTTAAAGGACAATGTCACTGTTAGAGAAGAAATAAAGAACAATTTATCTAACCCTTCCTACATTAGTGTAGCCCAAATTCTAAAATACTTCAGCCCAACTCCCGAGTTCTCCACAGTGCACGGCCTTTGCAGGAAAACTTCTGTTCGCCTTCACCTCCCTTTTTTTGCACACTTGTATCACTCGTCTTATTCTTTCCTATGGATGGAGCCGCACTCCTCTGAATGTCTGGGGCCACCATGAGTTTACACCAACGGTAGTGATGAGTGGAGAATTCAGCACACATGAGCAATAGCATCCTTCTGCAAAAGCTGTGTGGCCCCAGGCAGGCCGGCCGGCATAGGGAAGAATGAAGAAGCAAGGCTCGGGGTCGCTGTAGGCAACACAACACTTTTCTTTTCCTCCACTCATGATATAAACCATCAGACAATATAGACATGGTGTTCTTTGCGCTGCGGTTTGGCAGGTCTCTCTCTCCATGACTTAATACGATGCAGTTTTGTGAGATAAAAGTCTCCAAATATGGCAACAACTTGACAAAGAGCAAGACGGCAGACAAGTCACTTCAGTTCAGCCCGGGAAAGCGATCTGTGTTTGAGGAGGATAACGAAGTCTGACGAGTGTTGTATATGTTATATACTGGAAGCAGGTCCAAGTCTAATTATAGCTTTTCATGGAGCTATAGGTGCCAAAAAACACTGACGGCTTCAGAGTTATTCATTATAGCAATCGGTTTGTTTGGATTTGAGTTGTGTGGAACCTGTAATGTTTTTGATCACTTTTCATTGACATGTTAGTTTTTAAAGTTTGCAAATTTATAAAATGATGTTGAATATTGATTGACATTTCCTTTGTCTCACACCAAGGCAATGCTGAATGGGGGCTATGAGACAGATTTATTATAATGCAGCTTGATTCATAAGTTTCTCCTTCTGCTGCTCTAAAGTTGCACCGAAACAAGATACAGTGAAACCTACCTTGATCACTTCTTAATTATGCATCTGTTGGGAGTGAAAACCTCCAGCACTAATTATGTGGCTGACCTTTGCAAGACTGTCTGTCTCAGCTATTTGATGTCTGTCTCTCGCTGTATTTGTACACTGAGTGGCCAGATTATTATGACCACCCCATTTAGTACTTCGTTGGACCACGAGATGACTCCACGAGATGTTGAAAGGTGATGCGAGGAATCTGACACTGCACTGTTGCCCTTCTGTTGTCTTGTACCAGTCTTGCCACTCTCCGTTCTGCCCTAACATTGACTAGTCGCTGACTGCCCCAATTCGCACGTTCAGACCCAGATTTTCGGCTGACAGTCCAGTCTTTAAACACTTTAACAATGAGCCCCTCTTGAACATTTAACTAATTCTGGTGTTTTCCGATACTCGCTCCATGGCTCCGAGCGCCAACAATCATCCCACGTTCAAAGGCTGTTAAATCGCGTTGTTTCCCCGTATCTTCAGAAACAAATCACTTCTACTGTCGTGGTAACCAACCTGCTTCCCTATTTATAATGGTCTGGCCCTCTAGCAACTTCAGCGCCAAATTATAGCTAATTTGCCTACAAACATCAGGTGGTCATAATAATCTGGCCACTCAGTGTATACCAATTACACATTTAATGGCGCCTTTTATTAAATCACTGTGCAAAGAATACTGGGCATTCTATTTTAGGGCCTATTCACACAAGGCTGTTGCTGTAACACATTGCCTACCTTGGTGCGCTGCAGTGCTATTCGTTGCTTCACAATGCACGTTGTTCTGCATTTTACTGTTTTTTTACAATGTAAAAGAACTGTTTTTTTTTTTTTTCTTCCCATCTGTTCAGTTTGTATCAGGACACAAAAACGCATGAGCTGCAGCACACAGTGTTGCGGTGGGAATGGCCCCTAAACCTTAACGCTAAACTTAATTTTTAGGGGCCAAACAGCTAAATGAACGGATGAAATACGCTTATGGTATCTGTTTTACCTGCTAAAGGATTTGTATTTCTATCCATCCAGCCTGTTTTATATTCTGTTCTCATTCTGTGTCCCCGCAGTGTTCTACCTGTCCTCAGCAGTTCATGCAGAAAAAGCATCTGCAGAGCCACATGATCAAGATGCATGGAGAGCCCAAACCCCACGCTGTGAGTATGCGGGTATTATGTAAGCAATGCAGGGAGAAGAAACCCCAGCACCGAGGTCCTGGCCCACTCCATTGAGGGGTCGCAACATCTGCAGATGAGACTAAAGAGAACAGAAAGCTTGTTCTGAAGTATTGTTGTCACAACCATGCAGATACTTTCTTCCAAACGTAAAAATAACCAGTTGTTGTTGCAGGCTCTATATAATTTATCATTTATCTTTTAGATCCGTCGTTATGTGTCAGTATGCCTTCCTGTCCACAGTAATAACCGTAGTGTTCTCCTAAATGAAATGCAGAAACTATTTAGGGGTCTGTACATACCTTCACCACCCTCCAGCTCTCCGAAGAGACTCTGATTCTGGGTACTGTAAAATGCCAATACCGAGCAAGTAAATTACAGGGCTTACCCGTCTCCTGTACCCCACTGCCGGTCCTTAAAGGGGACCTGAACCCAAATAGTAAACATTTCCTATGTTATAGAATCCTGACAAATGAACCTTTTTGCCCTGAATTACTCTTGAAAGATAGCAATGCACGTCCTGCTGTGTGAGGGGACACTTAAGCACTCCTGTGATTACAACCTTATACTGTAGCTGTATATCTGCAGTTTGATATATAAGGCAATGCTTCCTCTGACCGCTGGTCTCAGGGGATTTGGAGTGTGATTTGCTGATGTCACTACTGTGCTGCTCAATCTTCTAATCTTCTCCTTGCTGGAGGCTTTAAAGTGAAAAAACAAAGCATTGCCTCTACAAAGATGGCTGCCTCCACACAAAAGCCATGCAGAAGAAGGTATGGGAAGTTAGCCATGGGGAAAAGATCAGCTGCGGGGAGACCACAGGAAGTACTGATGACTAGTGCTATGCCAGCTTCCTTTTTTTTGTCTGTGGGCATAGCTTCCTGAGCTCAGGTCCTCATTAGCTTTAGTGACCAATAGTGAAGCATAGATGGCAGTAGAGTAAGGCCCCATTCACACTGAGCGACATGAAAATCGCGCGACTTTGAGCGATATTGCGCGACGTCTTCCTATTGGGCTGTATGCAATCAGGAGCAATATCGCTTGAAATCGCTCGAAAAAAGGGTCATGTAGGAGCGACAAGCTACCAGCGATATTGAGCGACGAGATGTGAACAGATCCATTGAAATGTATTGGTGAAGCTACATAGAGCGATATCGCGCGGAAATATGAGCGATATCGCTGCAAAAATCGCGTGATAAATCGCTCAATGTGAACGGGGCCTTATGGTCAGGCATTCTCAGCCTGACTGCTCTCAAGGGGGGAAAAAAATAGCGTGGAATGAATTTACTAGGGATGCACTGATACCAAGTATTTGGGCAAGTACTCGTACTTGCCCAAAAGCTTCCAATGTCTATGCCGATACCGGAACTTCCGGTATCAGGAAGCTTGGTGACGAGGCAGCATGGAGCCAGCATCCCGGCCAATCGGGAAGCCGGGTGGCGTGTAATGACTTGCCGCCCAGCTTCCTGATTGGTTGGAGAAGCTGGCCAATCAGGAAGCCGGGCGGCGAGTCATTACCCGCCCCCTGGCTTCCTGATTGGCCATAAAGCCGGCTCTATGCTTCCTCGGAAGCATGGAGAAGGCTTCCTTAATGGGACTTCGGTATATCGGTATTCAGTATGGGCAAGTACCTGTAAAAAAAATATAGGTACTCGATACCAAGAAAAGGGTAACGGTGCATGCCTAGAATTTACCCCAATAATTGCCATTTCCCTGAGATGAGGCCATTCCACTGCATAAACATTCACGTTTGGCCAAACCCAACATGCATATTTATTCGAAAAGTCTTTTGTTTAAAAAAATAAATAATAATTTGCTTAAATGGTTGGGTCCTCCAGCTGTGTTCTCCCGTCTCTTCCAAACCTAAGACAACATATCGGGGTAGGCAATCTGCGGCATTCCAAGTGTCGTGGAGCTGCAAGTACCAAGAGTCATTGTAAACCGTGACAGCCACAGGCACGACTTCACCACAGCTGGAGTGCTGAATGTTGTCTACGCCGGTACTAGATGTTACATTGAAATTACAACTTTGAAGACTGGAATTGTCTCATTCATCTGCATCATGTGTGTTCAGTATAGTGTGTGTTCAGTATAGTGTGTGCACAGTCCATATATGTGTTTCGTTAAGTGGCACCCACACGCCCAGCATTCCCTATCTCTGATCACAGCGTTGCGTTGCAGTGCCCTACCTGCGGGAAGTGTTTCTTCACACGGACAGAACTTCGGCTGCACGAAGCCTTCAAACACCGCGGAGAGAAGCTGTTTGTGTGCGAGGAGTGCGGTCACAGAGCCTCGAGCAGGAGCGGCCTACAGATGCACATCAAAGCCAAGCACAGGTCTGCCATTCATGTTTACAAGACAATGGAATCTCTCATGTTTTGGTCATGTTTATTATCACGCAGGGTGATGTCTGTATTACTGTATCAGTCCTGTTAGAGCAGCCTTTCTCAAGCTTTTTCCCATAGCGGAACCCTTGAAATAGTTCTCCGGCCTCATGGAACCCCTGCTATGAGCAATACTCAATCTGGTTTCAGTGGAGAAAATGACACCAGATTGGGAATACATTGGTATTGGAACACATTGGTGGTCAGTGGAAAGAATTCCCAGTTTACAGTCGTGGACAGAGTGCTACCATTAGAGAGCTAAAGAAAGATTATTGGTGCCATGCCACTGACTGCCAAGTGGTGTTGGCCCTGGAGCTATGCAGGCTTCAGTAGAAGGCAAGATTTGACAAGTGCTATTAAAACATAATAATAACATTCAGTGAAGAGGTGTATCTCAAAATACTCAATGTGAATAGTTGTGTAAACAAATTAAAGTCTATAAAATATCAAATCAGACAAGGTATGAATTTATCTAATTTCGCGCTCTTTTTAAACTTGTATGCTGTATGATTATAATAAACCTGGGTTTTACTACGCTATGAGCGTATGTTTTATCTCGATTATTATATGATTGGAGATCCCACCGGAGGGACCCCTAAAATACAAGGATATTCTGTTTAAACATCACGGGTAAATTGGGAGACCTCTCCTTCCCTGGAGCCTGATCGAGCGTGGAAATTAAAGACGGCGCTCCAGACTTACCTTGATGAAACAAACGTGTTTAACATCTTCGGATCTGGTGAGTGCATTCCCTTGAGGGGATTTTCTCTGCATTTTTTTCTTCGTTTTTTCCTTCGTTTTTTTGGAGTTTCGTTGGACACATTATTGCACTGAATTTTCACTGTTGAAGTGTCTTACATTTATGGATTTTTAAAGAATTTAAAAAAAAAACTGCAAAAGATTTGGACTATTCACATATACATCGACAAAAGTTTAATTTAATATAATTTATTTTATTTAATTGGTATACATTGTTTGTTCATTCACTATTTATTAACAAGAACCACCCACACATGATACATATTTTCACAGTCTATCACATTTTATTAGATAAATTCATACCTTGTCTGATTTGATATTTTATAGACTTTAATTTGTTTACACAACTATTCACATTGAGTATTTTGAGATACACCTCTTCACTGAATGTTTTAATAGCACTTGTCAAATCTTGCTCTTAACGTCTGTTTTCTTATATTCACCTCGGAAGGACGGCTAGCGCTGTACGTTTTGAGAAAATACATCCTAATAGGGGCTGAGTGCCTTTAGTTCAGCAGCTTCCCTTACCCTTCTAGAACAATTAAATTTCATACAATTTTTATCTATTCAAACTTTTATTCACATTTTATTATTTTTAGTATTCCCAATTTCCAATAGCGCAAGTTCTTGCAATTACTATTCAGTAGAGGGCAGGTCAATCAACCACAGCTCATGGAACCCGTAGCGGAACCCTGGCTGAGAATGGCTGTATTAGAGGATAGGCTGAGCCTTTATAAAGTCAGGTAAGAAAGGTATAAACGTTGTGGAAGGTTCTTTCAATGGACGGGAGTGTTCAGAGAGCTTTTTGCACAATACTGTCGGTGAGAGACTTGTCCACGTATGGCCAGACTGTAGGTGAGTCTTGTTATGCAGAACACAAATGCATTTTTCCGCACTGTGTATACCAACAAACCACTCCGGGCAGAATAAAAAGTAACCCTTGCAGTGGGGCCTACCCCTGCACTGCAAGGGTTAAGTGCTTATTTTGGTATAGTCCCTCAATCCTCAGTCCTGCTTGGCTGTTAGATTGGTCCCCACAGCATTTCTCCCCTCCGCTCCGGCAGCATAAGGACCTGAGAGTCATCACATCTAATACAGTGTGTTAGACGTGAGGACGCCAAGGCACAATCCACCACCGGAGCGAAGGGGGGACTCTGCCACAGGATGGAGGCTCGATGAGTATATCTTTTTTTAATTCAATGTGACAAGATGTGTGTGATTCAATAAAATGATCACTGCTTGAAGATTGAACCTCGGTGTGCTGGTGACATACTTTATTATTTGGATCTGAAGGCGGCGCCATCCGCAGTCACTACAGCACCCCGCCGCAAGGGACAGCACTCCAGTAAGAAGTGCGGCAGGATTCTTTTGCATATCTTTTTTTTTTTCTTTTTTCTTTCAGTCCCCTAGAGAAAAGCGAGCAGTTAACCCTCGCAGTGTGCGGGCAGCCCCACTATAAGTGTTCATTTATATTCTGGCCGGAGTTCTTCTTTAAAGGGAACCTACAGCGAGCAAATATGGAAGCTGCCATCGCTGGCTTTATCTGCTTGCTTGCTTTGGGTCAGCATCTCAAAGCATTGATGATGCCAAAGACAGTCATTTAGGGCCGGTTCACACCACAAACTCTGCGTTCCAGAGCGTTCGGCCTCTGGAAAGCGCTGGAGCGCAAGCCGGCCAGCTCCCTGCATTCAGAGGCGGGAGGGGGAGTGGCGGTGCAGTGAAGTCAGTGGCACCGCAGCCACGCCCCCCGCCCGCAGTGCGATCGCCCGCACCCGGAATGCAGACACATTAGTGTTTGCAGTATTTTTGCAAAACGCACTGGACTGGAACGCAGGCACTAATGTACCTGTGTTCCGGGTGCGGGCGATCACACTGCGGGGGGCGTGGCTGCGGTGCCATTGACTTCAATGCACCGCCACACCCGCCCATGAACGCAGGGAGCCGGCCTGCTTGCGTTCCAGAGGCCGAACGCTCTGGAACGAAGATTTTGGTGTGAACCGGCCCTCAGCCTGGAAATGAGCTCTAATGATTCCCTTTCTTTCCTCTTGACAGAAACGAACGTCCATTTGTATGCGAGTTCTGCCACCACGCCTTCACCCAGAAAACCAACCTCAATATGCACCTGAAGACTCACACGGGTGAAAAGCCTTTCCAGTGCCATCTGTGCGGGAAAACGTTCAGGACACAAGGTGAGTGGGACAAGCCAAGTACTGAACAGCAGGGTCCTCCATGGGACTGAGGGTTTGCTTGCACGGAGGATGATGGCTTAAAGGAGAACTATGGGGTTAGGGCTTTTCCCCATAGTTCTCCTTAGGGTAACGGTAGGACACAAAGTAGCGTCCTCCCGTCACCCTAAGCTCAGTATACCGCAAGTATACTGAGACGCCACAGCTGAAGCCGATCCCGACAATTATGTCTGGATCCGCCCAGCTGCATGAGTGACAGCTGGCTCTGCCTATCTAGAGGCAGAGCCTGCTGTACCCGCCCCCTCCGTTCCGCCAGTCAGCGCTGGAAGATCGGTGGGGGGAATCCAGCCCCTCCCCTGTCACGGCTCTCACGGCCGGTATGTGTTCGCTCACCTCCCGATCTACTGAGCCGACCTGTGACAGTCTCATTGTCACAGGTCGGCTAGAACTATGAGGTGAGTGAAAAGCACTCACCTCATAGTTCTCCTTTAAGTCCTATGAACTAAAAATGGCCTCTGTCTTTTGAATTGTTGCATTTGCTACAGATGCATGCTGGGAATCTTTAGCTACCTAGGTATCTAGTGTGTTGTAGTTGCCCTCTGCCTTTTTCTGGGCACAGCTTCCAGAGTTCAGTTATTCATCAACTTAAAAGATAATGTTTGTATTGTTCCCTTCCTCTGATCATTTAGTTTTTTGCGATTTTCAGCCAGTCTACATAAGCACAACCGGACGCACACAGGGGAACGGCCATTCAGCTGCGAATATTGCGATCAGCGATTTACAGACAAAACTCCACTTCTGAGGCACGTGGCCAGCCGACACCAGGAGGGCAGACCCTACTTCTGCCAAGTCTGCGGCAAAACCTTTAAAGGTAAGAAAGCTTACAGTAGTGCATTCTGCCGCTAGGTCAGTTGCATATGTTTGGCCAAAACTATAGCTGGTGGCATACATCATGGAATGGCTGCTTCCATCGGAGCCTAACCTTACAGGCGTTTGGCTTTATACCCAAATTTATTTTAAGTACAAATGCGGTATTTGGTAATATGGTAGAAATACTAAAGCACGAGTCAGGATGCAGAATACCTGGTGCAGTGGTGCTGCCAGTAATCCAGTGGGCTGCCATTTCTTATCATTGGCTGAGCTGTGGGAGTAACTGACTGTGAAGTTCTTCCTTTTCCTGTTACGGCTTTTGATTTCTCTCTCCTGTAGCGACCGAGCAGCTGCGCGTTCACGTGGCCAGACATCGCGGCGTGAGAAAGTTTGAGTGCACAGAGTGCGGGTACAAGTTCACTCGGCAGGTGAGTGTATTGAAGTCGGGTGAAGGAAGAGTTGTGTTGGTCTGCATTGCCCCAAGGAGCCAATCAAATTTGTTCTTGATGGGGTAGTGAAAGGCAGGTTCTGATTGGTTCCTTTGAACAGCACACCAAGACATTTGCTTCACCCACATTTATAAAAGAAGAGAAGTGTGATTGTTTGATAATTGGTCTTATAACTGTGAAAGTTTTCTTATTAAACATTTATATTTGCTCTTTTAGCTAATTTTTTTTCCCAGTGTCTTTGGATGGACTCAGGCGGTGGCCACATAAGTCTGACAGTTGATCCCGTGTCCCTGACCACGCAGCTTTAGGGCTCATGCATACAGGCACCTTGGGCCATACAACATAATATTCAGGCAAAACTAGGAGCCAAAGGTTCTGCATACAGACACCCATAGAAAGCAATCGCTGTACGCGGGTATAGATTGGTACTTGTGTAAACATGTGCATGGACATTCAACAGTCTGCGCCCAGGCTCATGCATCCATACATGCGTGTTTAGGCAGGTACCGGCTTACACCATGAGTTCTATGGATGGCTGTACCCAGCACCTGGGCTCCTGAGTGTTTGTTATGCGGCACCTGTGTACATAAGCCATAAAAGTGTGCAGTGTGGCAGGGCAGCAACTCTCAGACTTTAGGTGACCTCTGACCCCCTACATTTAACCAAAGAATCAAATGCAGGCATAGTTAAACCTGGACTCTGGGACAAGCAAATATTATCCTCATACAAGAGCCATGTGTATTCTTCCTGAATCTTGGTGAGCTTTGTGTATTTCTTCCAGATCTGTGCAGTAATCCAGTGTGACACTTGGAACTTCCTGTAATAAAGACCGCTCACTGCTGCTATCTCTCTCTTTGTGCAGGGTGACTGGTCTGGTCTCCGCCTTCTCCTGTAATACAGACCAGTCACTGCTGTTCTCTCTCCTTGTGCAGGGTGACTGGTCTCCGCCCCCTCCTTTAATACAGACCAGTCACTGTGGCTCCCTCTCATTGTGCAAGGTGACTGGTCTTGTCTCCGCCCCCTCCTGTAATAAAGACCCCTCACTGCTGCTCTCTCTGCTTGTGCAGGGTGGCTGGTCTTTTATCTACCCCCTCCTGTAGTGGGTGGACAGCACAAGCAATGTGCAGCACACTGATGGTCACTGCTGCTTTGCCATGGCTAATCCGTGCACATGCAGCCTTTTTCTGCAGCAGACAAAAAAGAACTACAACCCTCGCCAAAGGAAACTCCGCAACCTGATCATAGAGGAGGAGAAGAACATGGTCATCGGCTTACAGAGCGCCCAGGAGCTGGATGACGGCCCGACGGAAATTATAGTGGAGTCTATTAACGCCACCACTCTGCCAGATGAGGTCACCGACCAGAGACTGTGTTCAGAGGATGGCTTCCCGGCCGAGGTCATTGAACAGTCTATAATCATCACCGCCACCGCCATACCCATCGAAGACTGTGAAACGTGAGGAGCCGCCAGAGCCCTCCATTGTGGTAACTTTATTTTTTTTTTTATGTTATTTATATTTATTAGACTGTTGCATCCGCTTTACAAATAAACTGCAATCGTGCAAATGAACAAACTGCAAATTGTATTTTTATTTTCTTGAGATTTTACATATTGCAATGCGGATTTCACTCATTTTCATGGGATCTTCCATCTGACAAAAATTGCTAGAGGCTCCTGACACCCTAAGTGGAATTTCAGGCAAACGGCTAAATACAGAGATCAAATACAGAACATGTATGTATGTATGTATGTATGTATGGGCGCTGTTTTACTTTCCAAACGATTTTTGTATTTCTGTCCATCCAGTCAGGATACCTGACTGGACGGAGACCTGATTTTTCTCTGCTACATTTAAGCAACACTTGCAGGTCCCTTCCCCAGCTTGTGATTGGACAGTGAAAGCAGAAGCAGCACACTCATGCACTCATCTCCCTGCTCTTTCTATCAGCGTGCTCCTTCCTAGCACATGAGTGCCGCAGCATATCAGTCTGAACTGTGTGGTACAGGGGATGCAAGAGGCCAACACCAAGTCAAATTCAGGTTCTTGCGTCCCTTGCGCTAATGAATACAGAGCTGCAGGTGAGTATAACATTTTTTTAGTAGCTAGCCAAAAATGAGCAGAAGCGCAGGGATAAGAAGAGGTTTGTTCACACTGCATTGTTGCAGCATTTAGCAGATCGTTCTGACACCTTCCAAGTACCATGCAAGTGCCAAATGGCTCAGTTCACACTTGTGGCACAGAGGGCCGAATGCCCCCTGGAGTGTGTGAACCGTGGCAGCTTTGTCTTCTACTGACTCTCTTGGCTGGGAGAGGTTTGGAGCCAGGGGCAATATTCTGGCGCTTTTGGTCATTTCAACATACATGCAGCGTTTTAGCTGTTTAAGTATTTGCTGTTGTGTGTCGGTGGACCAATAAAAGAAGAGCTAAGTTTTTCACACACGGGTGGGGGGACCCCCTTCCAGGTTCAAAAGCATTGACTTATCAGGGCCGAGTGGGTGACCCCATTCTGAGCCTGGGCCCTGTGTGGCCCTGAAAGCGCTTGATTTTCCGAGTGACATATCATTAAATGGGTTCGCACTGACCCGTGTGTTTTTGTCGTGCCCGGTGTGCTGGTGACATCCTCATCCAAAGTTGTTCTATGTGCGGCGCCCTCCGCGGTCATTTCCAGCACCCGTTTAACCTCTTTGGGATTTCCGGTAAGGAGTGCTACAGGACTTGTGACGTTTGTAAATTTATCTTCATTCCAAACAGCACAATGGTCATGTAAAATATCTTAAACATTTTACAAAATAAACGTAAGGCAATACAATAAACGCGGCACAAAAATTCGGAGAACTGCGCATCTTGTCAGTTCACAAACAAAACGTGTATGGTTTTCTAGGAAACCAGTAAGTAGCACTGAAGACTGGTAGCACTGGTGTCCTAGCTCAGGCACAAATCAGAATATTAAGATCTCTGTGTCTGCAGTCCATTTGGATCTGCTTAGTGCAGGCCCTGCCCAGTGCCAGGCATTCTGCGGGCAGAGCAGGCTGACAGCCTATCATATCTCTTGGATCCTATGACGTCACTGGTGAGGCAATCTATAGGCTACAGTACATAGTGTGGTTGTGTCAGTGACGGATGTGATGTTTGAACATTGCATATAAAATCATAGCGCACCGATTCTGAATAGCTTATTATTAAACTCGCACAAGTTCAAGCAGTAATGACATTCTTAAATATCAGATACAGTAAACTGAACGTCCTTCACGCTCGGCGTTCCTTTAAATGTGTCATATTCACGGTGAGACGTTGGTCTCCATGAAAGTCATCCGATTTCAGGGACTTGTCACAATTGGAGCCGGCAGAGGCTGTGTTTTATGTGAAGGATGAAAACCAGGGATAGGCAACCGTGGCACGCCAGCTGTGGTGGAACTACATCTCCCATGAGCCATTGCAAGACTCTGACAGCCACGACTCCCGGAGGTGTTTTCACCACAGCGGGAGCGCCGAGGTTGTCTGCCCCTGATAAAAAGCAAGCAGATGGTTTGGTCAACAGCTTAACCTCTTGCCGTCCGCCCGTAGTAAAAAAACGGACGGACGGCACTGCAGCGGGCACGCACGGGCAGAAAAGACCCGTCCAATGCGAACACCCGGTACCGGGTGTTTCACATATAGGCGATCAGCGGGTCCATAGCCCGCCGATCGCCTATAAGGGCAGAAGCATGTTTCTGACTTTGCACCAGTAAGTACTTCTCATTAACTGCAGCAGCCATTGAAAGATCGCTGTCTGTTCCTTTCCAGAGCTAGCTGTCCTGACTTCCTGTTACTAGGAGCGGTGGCTGCTATGCCCTCTCCTACCTGAGGGCCACTGGTTCTGTACAACGGACCTTTTGTAGTCTCCGTATGTGAATGATGTAATTACAATGTCTCTCGCTGCATTGTGGGGACTCGGGCTGCTCAGACTCCTGGTCTCTCCCACCCACAATCTGGCCAGGAGATTCTTGGTCTGTTCCACCCACCATAACAGTTTTACCTGATTGACGGGCCAGAAGAATCCTGAAATGGGCCGAAATGCCTCGGAAGTCTGTTATTGACCGTTTTGATGCCTTTTTGGTAGGGATGCACAGATGCTGGTTTTTCAGGTATCAGGTACCGATATTTTTTTTGTGGTACTCGCCAATACCGGAAGTCCCGTTAAGGAAGCCGGGCGGCATGTCATTACCCGCCCCCCCCTTGGCTTCCTGATTGACCAAGAAGCCATCTCCTTTGTCACCAGGTGACGAGGAAGCATGGAGCCAGCTTTCTGGTCAATCAGGAAGGCGGGGGGCAGGTAATGACTCGCTGCCCACCTTCCTGATACTGGAAGTTTTGCTATCCGGAGAAGCATCGGTAGTATGTACGAGTACTCGCCCAAATACTCAGTATCTGCACAGATACCAATACTAGTATCGGTATTGGTGCATCCCTACTTTTTGGGAATAAATTGATCCCGTCTGGAGTGCCGTTTTCAATGGATCCCTCCTCCCAGCCCTGGGCATACCACCACTTTACTAGGAGAAACTATGATGTCACAGCCTTTTACAATGCAAAAACTAGTAAGGGGATAAAAAAAACATTGCTAGTTTATGTCCGGGGCAAGGAACTATTGGGGGGGGGGGAAATATCCTGGAGTTCAGCTTTAAGGGTGTTTACCTGCATTTGCATGTCTCATTGGTAGAGTGGGCATGACAGTCCTAGGCTACCTTGTCCTGCGTTTCTCTGTACACAGCATGCTGCATTGGAGATGTTTGAAGTGCAGACAGAGCAGGTCAGACGCTCCTTCTCCTTATCTCAGGGCAGGTTTTATTTGACTTTATATTCTATAGGGGTGTTTGCTGTGCGACTTCCTGTTGTGTTGATTGGTAGCCGGAAGCTTGGACAGAGAATTTTCTTTTTACACTGCTCTATATTGTGAAGATCATCAGGGACAGATCCCCCGGCATGCTCAATGATATAGAAAAACTAAATCTACAGATGGAGAAGTGCTGCACACGCTCAAGCATTGGTTTGTTTTTTTTACAAAGAACATTTAAATCTCCTTTTGCAGCATTTCAAAAGTAACGGCCCCCTTTGTAATCACTGGGAAAGAAGCAGCTGCAGACCCGTGGCCTATAAAGGGCTTGCTGGTACTTAAAGGGTAAGTGCACAAATCCCTCATCCCTTTTGCACCTTTACCCTGAGCTTCCCTAAAGCACCCTTCCCCCTCCACAGATGCATACTTAAGCTGGCCATACACTATATGAATGGCGGCCAGTTCTTGATGGACTGGCTGAAATTTGCACAGTGGGTGCCGCTGTTGGCACCTTTTCAGCTGATCAAAGGAGCCGGTTGGAAAATCTTCTAACGAACCGAGCTGGCAGCCAATGAGCTGTGTAATGGGCACAGCCAATGAACTATACAATGAAGACAGCGGGAGACTCCTTGAGGAACGCGCGTAAGCGTTGATGGAAGAATCAGTTCTATTTCCTTCATTCAATCCACGGGTTGAGCACAGAACATGTTACAGTGCACGGGCGGCCGTACTTCAATCCAATGGCCGCGGCCTCCAGTGTTTATTTACATTCTGACCGTGCCTACACATTCCAGTTCCATAGACTTCGCAGGACACAACCTCATGGGGCTCTAGGGGGCTGTAATGTGCAGACGGGGCCAGGCACTGGATGTAAACGATTACCGAAGGGCGCGGTTGTTGGATTAAGGGAAGTATGCATCTGTAGATGGGAAGGATAAATCAGGGCAAGGGGCAAAAGGGATCAGTGCGCTTATCCTTCATAGGGTGCAGGTTACATGGGCCTGCTGGTATAGGGAATGCTGCGTGTCGGGCTTCTGTACCAGGACCATTCTTGGCAGCCAGTCCATTAACAGCAGCTGGTTACAGAGCGGATCACAGCCCAGTCTTTCCTCCCGGTGAATGCTAAAGAAAGCCTGGGGACCGCCCTTGCCGGCCCCCTCCTGAAAAACTCTGGCTGTCATGCTTGTCCTCTTCTGTGCTTTCAGTCACTGACCTGCAAAAATAAGGGGTTTGGCCACCTCTGATCCGCATGCTTGTGCTGGGCCAGTGAAGCAAAAGTATTAAAGACCTCAGTCAGTCAACAGCCAGGAATCTAGCATTTTGAGAAGCAATTCAGCAGTGGCTGCAGCTGTTTTTCTCTCATGACAGGTTCACTTTAAGGCCACTTTGTCACAAAGCAAAATACCTGTGTGAGAATCTTTAGATTAATGGCGGAGCCTCTTCAAATGTAACATATGGATTAAATCACGGGTCAGTACACTCAATGCCTACGCAGCAAGGCAGCGGCCATTTTGTTTGCCCAAGTTCTGGTCTGCAAGTAAGAAGTACAGCCTCAAGTACTTGGGGTCACAGGGCATGGACAAATAGCACACACAATGAAGACTGATTTTAAGTGGAGAGGCAATGGGGAGTGTCTAAATACAACATTTATGCTTGAATCTCAGTGAGCTGTGTATATCTTCCACATCTGTGCAATAATCGCGTGTGACCCCCTTGCCTCTGTGCAGGAGCTTCCTGTAATAAAGACTGGTCACTGCTGCTCTCTCTGCTTGTGCAGGGTGACTGGTCTTGTCTCCGCCCCCTCCTGTAATAAAGACCGGTCACTGCTGCTCTCTGCTTGTGCAGGGTGACTGGTCTTGTCCCCGCCCCCTCCTGTAATAAAGACCGCTCACTGCTGCTCTCTCTGCTTGTGCAGGGTGACTGGTCTTGTCTCCGCCCCCTCCTGTAATAAAGACCGCTCACTGCTGCTCTCTCTGCTTGTGCAGGGTGACTGGTCTTGTCTCCGCCCCCTCCTGTAATAAAGACCGCTCACTGCTGCTCTCTCTGCTTGTGCAGGGTGACTGGTCTTGTCTCCGCCCCCTCCTGTAATAAAGACCGCTCACTGCTGCTCTCTCTGCTTGTGCAGGGTGACTGGTCTTGTCTCCGCCCCCTCCTGTAATAAAGACCAGTCACTGCTGCTCTTTCCTTGTGCAGGGTGACAGGTCTCGTCTCCCACTCCTGTAGTTTTCTGCAGGAAGCATGTAGTGGGTGGGACCTGCTAGGCCCCTCCCACAGCTCTGCTCAGGTTAGAGTCAGCCCAGTGATGATGTCACCACTACCTTTACAAGGTAATACCTTGGTATGCACAGGCATTTGATGCACATTTTTGTGCCTGAGGTTCAGCTTTAAAACTTTTATAACCAGACACATTTTAGTATGAGCTGGTCAGGGGGCATTTTTGAGCGTTGCGGGTACACAGTCAGTACCTCACTGATAAACAAAATGGCTGCCAGAGCCGTTTCCTGTGTAAGCACTCAGGGCACTTCCTTTTAGACAACATGGATACAATCGCGTTTCACACTCAAGACTCTTTAACATGTTCATTGGGGTGTCTGACATATTTTTGTTCTTTGTTTACTAGCAAAAATATATTTTATATGAATCTCATAACCGCTCTCCAATAAAACCTCTACAGAGCAGTAACAGGTGTCTACATAGGAAATCCTAAGGGAAGGGTACACAGCGGAGATTACGGTGCGTTTCCTGATGGGCCCGTTTGCAAGCAGTTGACTCCATGGGTCGCCGTAGAGCTGGTTCGTCTCTGTGATGCCCGCGTACACTTCAAGCCAAATTCAGAGCTGAAGACATAACCTTTTATAGGCTCAGTATGTAGATTAAAGAGAACCTGTCATGGCAGGTGTTACATTTGCACAGCTTATGCAAATATCTGGAGGATGCCATTGGAATGGTGCTACTTCCAGGGCGCAGGGGTGCGCCCTGTCCTGGAACCAGCATCCCTTCCAGAGTTGGGTGTTGACAGCCGTCATTGCTGGGCAGGAATCTTGCAGTTCTTTAACAAACCAAATGTCATCCAGGTAAGGTATACATCGGCCTTAAGGGGCCCACACACCTTACAATTTATCTGCAGATTTTCTGTGGTCAGATGGAAAAGGTGCAACAGATTCCTCCATCTACGCTAAACTGTGTGGATGTGAGGAATCTCCACCTGGGCCAATCTGTTTCACTTTTTCCATCTGAGCACAGAAAATCTGCAGATAAATTGTAAGGTGTATGGGCACCTTTAATCTTGCTTCCCCATTAAATGTAATCAGTTCCACTTAGGCACATGGCACAACTCTTGCTCCTGTGCTTCTAGCACAATGTCTATGAGAAGCTTCTGAAGGAGAAGAGGCAAACTACACCTATAGTGAAATTGTCCTTTAATAAATCCCCCCACCTTTGCGTGCAACCCACCTGGGATAATGCTTACCTTTCTTCCCAATCCAGCAAGCCTACCTCCAACAAGATCCAGGCCAGCTCCCCTTCATACTGTGCATGTGCACAGCAGCCACATTCATTGCCTTGGGCAGCTGTGCTCATGGTGACCTCCAGTGGTCCCTTAGCGTACGACTTACCCATATGAATGAATGGGGCTCAGCACGCATTCGCAGTATGAGGAGCCAGCTAGGACCATATTGATGGAGAAGATTATTAGATCGGAGAGAAAGGTAGGTATTATGCTCGGGAGGTGGCATGAAAGTTGTCCTAGCTAACCTATTAAGTCACATCTGTGACTTGGAAATAGCAAGCTGTCCAAGAGTTCAGAAAATGGCGGCTTCTGCTTGATTCTCCCGTGTTTCTGCCCTCAGAAGCAAGTCAGCAAGGCCAGTTGCATATTTCTAACCCGACAAGTTCCTTTTACTTGTGTTGTACGCATGCACACGGAAAGTTAAACACTTGAGTACGTCCACCTCAAATTGAATAGTGGGCATACCCGTCGAGGTCCCCACAGAGTTCACTGAGATGCAAACTGTCACTGACCCAAGTTTATCTCTAACGGAAGCACAACCTTTAGTGAGAACATCACATGAACGCGTGAAGAAAAAAAAATATCAATATATAAATATAGAATATTATGAAAATAGAAACCATCCATGTAATAAACTACGGAGGCGTAGTGTGCTCGGTTACCTCATACCAGCCTGTTGGCCCTTTACCCTTCTGGTCAGTTCATTAAGTGTAAATAAGAATTCTCTTCCTATCGTCTGTGCAGCTCATTCAGGTTGTGGTTGTGCAAGTTCTGCCGCCGTCTGTTCAGGTTGATTGTATTCCGCTCGTGGTTGGCGTTGTCCAAGGGGACGGCGTCAAAGCTGTACTGAGTGTGAGGCATGAACTGCCTGAATATGCTGACGCTGCCGTGCCAGAATGTCGCCTGGGGGAGATGTCCCATTAAGCTCCACTCCTTTGTTTTCGGGTCAAAGGCCTCGACCACATCCGAAAGTTCAAAAGTGTTGTCGTAACCCCCGGACACGAACAGTTTCCCTCCGAGCGCGGCCAGGCTCCCTCCAACGTGAACCTGTGGGAGTTACAACAGCATTATCCCTGTGACAGGGAAACCGGTATTTTTACACTTTAAAGCCGGACTTTGGCCCAAACAGGTTTTTTGGACTTGGTTAGCATGGGGAAGGCTGTTGGGTGGACTGTGGAAGGCTATTGGGTGGACTGTGGAAGGCTATTGGGTGGACTGTGGAAGGCTATTGGGTGGACTGTGGAAGGCTATTGGGTGGACTGTGGAAGGCTATTGGGTGGACTGTGGAAGCCTATTGGGTGGACTGTGGAAGCCTATTGGGTGGACTGTGGAAGGGTTTCAAAGCTTTTCTGTTACCTGCCTGTAAAAGTTAATCATATGACTATGTGAACCACTAGAAGGCATCGGACACATAAATGCGGCATTACAAATCTGCTAGTGAATGTTCTCTATAAAAAAGGACCAAGTATAAGAACTAGGGACACGCACAGGTCCATATACCAGTTCACTATTGCAACAAAAATGAATGTTCTCAAAACAAAGAGCATTGTAAGGACATAAAAAGATGTATTGTGGTCACAAAGCGGTTAAGAACAATGAGGAAGGACAGGTAAGGCATACAATACCTGCTTCATAGGAGGAATTTTGTTCCATTCATTCTCCAGAGGACTGTATACATCTACTTCTGCGGAATCGTCCCTACAATATGAAAACTGCATTATTAAAGGTATCAGAATACAGACAGAACTAGAATACACAGCGCCAAGAGAGACTTTGGAGTCTTGGTTCTCAACTGGTGGGTCGTGACCCCGTGTTCAGTGGGTCGCCGCATGCCTTCCACTTTTCCAGGTGAGAGGCTCATCAGCCTCCGCCTTGCCACAGCACTGTCAGTTCTCGTGCCGAGCAGCCATTCAAAATATGCTGCCCAGTGTCAGCTTGAGGTGGGGTGCACTGGGGTTATGGCAGCGAGGGAGCTCCATCCATAGATGTATTGCTTATAGCTCCCTCGCTTGTCCTGTAGAGGTGCCTAGACTGGAGTGACATCACATTCTGGCTCCCGGCACCTCTACAGGCGCACATGGGAGCTGTACAAGCAATGCACATATGGATGGAGCTCTGTCACAGTACAGCAGACCACACTGCCGTGCGTTCCTTTGTAGTGCGACTTGGGTTGCGACTTAATGACGGAGGATAAATGTGGCTTACACAGGTTGAGAACCACTGCTTTAGAGCATAACTTTGACAGTGGTTCAAACCCGATCCTTAGCTACCAAATTCTAAAAAGAACCATTGTGTGACTTAGAAACACTTTGATAAAAGGTTGCTCAGCGATGCGTTGGTATCACATTAGCACAGAGGTGGCCAAATTAATATGGAATTCAGGAGCCAGCAGGATTTTCTTTCCATTGACAAGAACTAGTGGAAACCTAAATGTTAGGAGATAGGAGAAGCAAGCAGAGGGATGGCCTAATCAGACTTCTGCTGCTCTTCGACTGCCCAGGCAGCAGGTTGAGGGTGGAGAGAGGACAACAGTGTAATGCTTAACTGTAAGTAGCATCATCCACCTGGCTGTACTGTGTAAATTCCAGGAATGGATGGACAGAAATACAGATCTTTTGACAAGTAAAACAGCTGCCATATATGTATTTGATCTGTGTATTTAATGGTCTGCCTGGAGTTTAGTCTCCGATTCTGATATACTATATACAAGACAGAAGTGCCAGGATGAAAGAAGTGTTTAAAGCATCCGAGGAACCTGATCTGGTTGTATGATAGGCGAAGTGTGTGCGTGGTAGGAGCAGGTGAAATGGAATTAGCTGTAACTGGCAGAAGACTCTTCAGCTGTCGTCTTAAGAATAGCCACGGTAACTATTGCACAATGACATCGACTCTGACATCCCCGCAGAAAAGACGCATGGGATTTTTCCCAGCAAGACATTAATGCCTCGCGGGCTGCGTGCGGATTGCGGCCTCTAAACACTCTGTATGTTTATGTTCCGGGCGTACGAGGGAACGCTCTGTTCCTGGATGGGTAGACACTGCTGCCAAGACACGGTTGTTTAGCTGCTACAAGCTTTCTATATTTATAACACTGAAAACAGTAAGAGGGACTTTTGGTCGGAGATGAGAAGCGGAGCTTGTTAGAATTGTAACAGAAACAGAACATGGCGCTGGAACGGTTCTCTTCCTTGAATTGTAACTTTAGCCAACAGCTCCGTCTTCCAAAATAGCAAAACTGCAGATTCTGCCAAGGACACGGTCACCGACATAGATTCAGCAGTCCAAAGCGGCTTCTAAACACAAAGCCAGCCATAGACTATAGATGGCAGTTTCTCTTCGAAGCAGAAGTGCTGCTGTTTTGGGCAATGGAGGAGGGTGAGCCGCACGAAGGAAGATGCAGCACTGAGGAGAACAACAACTGCAAAAGGTTCCTTTGAACTGTTTATTGTTTCACGAAAACCCATATTTGAGGATGTTGGGTGCTGTCAAAGAGACATCGGATAGTCACCCAATCTAATAAGTAAAGGCCACATCGGGAACCATTATCTTATTTCTATGGGCACCTTAAAGAGACCTTGTAACCTTGTCCATTCATTGCAAAGCCCAACCTGACCAGTTTATACTCACCTTTCCAGTGCTCCTCCAATGCTCCTTCCTTTGTGGATGATGCTGCAAAATGCCCGCTGCTTCTGGTTACGGGCGAGCATGTGACTTCCTCCCATGATACCGGCCAGACGCCAGGCAGAAGCAGTCAAATGATGGAGAGAGTGGCGTCACCACTCTCTGAGCTCCAGCCACAGCCATGCCAGCCAAACTGGCTATTATAGTGGCAACTTTGATGACAGAAGGAGCCTCAGAGATCGCTGTGGAAGGTCAATATAAAGTGGTTGGGGGTGGGCTTTACATACATAAGAGGCACTAGATATCCTATTGGTAATATCCAGTGTAGTGAAGGACATCTCACTGATCAAGCTGGCTCACTTCCACGTGTACCAGAAAATCCCCAAGGAAAGGAAAGAAAGTGATGGGAATTCAATAATTTAGGCCTTGTTCACACCAAATGCAGACCAGATCCGGTCAGGTTTCTGCACACGCAGTGCAGTGGGTTGTGCCGCGTTTTTGACACGTTTATGGGCCGGTTTTGGTTAAAAAAATAATAATTTTTAAGTTTAACATGGGCTTTCAGGCACTTGCATGTGTTTTTGATGCGTTTTCCAGAGCAGGTAAAATAGGGCTTGCCGCAGTTTTTTCACCTGCTCTGGATCCGCACGCTGCAATGTGAACTGGAGGTCAAAATACCATAGGAATACATTGGACGCAGTTTTGATCCGGTCTGCACCTGCTCTGGTCTGGATCTGCTCCGCGCTTGGTGTGAACAAGGCCTAACACTTGTCACCAGAACAAGAAGTGCGGGTAAATCTAAAATAGTTGGGGGTGAGCTTTACAAGAGGTGAGTAAATCCTCCAATGTAGTGCAACTGTCTAAGAGTGGACCTTCCCTTACGATGGAGGCATGTCCTCTTGCTTCCCGATATGTTGCCGACACAGATAACCACAAAAAAAAAAAAAACTGATGGGCTTTAAAGTGACATTAAAGGATAATCCCCCCCCCCCCCCCCCATGTTAGTGTCAGGATTTACCTTAAGTGATGCCTCTTGATCCGATCATCTTCTTCTTTCCTGTAGTTTTCAGCTGTCCCTCCAGTGCTGGTGCGGGTCTCCGATCCAGCGCTGACTCCTCTGTGCTAGCTGGCACTTCCTGTCTCACAGAGTCTATGCGGGTGCACGCTGCTCCACAGACTTACCTTGTGTCTCTCCTCGTCTCCCGGCTGAAGATCTGAACTGCGCATGCGCCCGCCCCTAGATCCTTTGCGGCCGCCTGAGACTCTTCAGATGTTCGGACGGGAGCGCGCGCCAAAGACACAGGTAAGTTTAAAATTGTTTGAACAGTTGTTTTTTTTAATGTTTTTGCATATATCTATTGCTCGCTAGCAGATATATGCAAAAAAACACTAAGGGTTTATTAGCCCTTTAACCATTCCTTACTCTATCCAAAACTAAACTACTCGTAAATACACATTAAGATAGAAACAAAAGACATACAAAAAGATAGGTTTAAATATGCAAAATAACCCAAAAAATCCCATTTCTGCCGCTTGATATTTCTGCCGCAAGAATTGGGATAGATGAATGATGTCTGAAGCTTGTACATTTCTGTAGACTGCTGTCTCCAATCGATAGATGGCTAAATACTCATAGGTACCATTCTGATCATGACATTACAAAATATTCCAGGTCACAAGGGAGGTAAACGTTCCTCTGCTAATACTGATTAGAAATACTGGAAGTGGGGTTGTGGGACCAGTCACACTTTTGGGGAACATCTTTGCATACTATTATGTGTCCTGTCCGTTTTCCAATGTACATTGTACTGGTTGTACCGCTGATGCTCATGGAAGAGGAAATCACTGAAGATTTAGGGGTTTTTTTCTTCCCCATTAGTTGAATAGAAGGATGCATTGGTGAGAACTGCACTCCTGGAAAAACAATGGTGCCACCCGGTAGATTAGCTCCAGGATATAAGCACCTAACCTGCAGAAATGTGACTCGGTCCTCAAAGATGGCATTATGGTATATTGTAGTTTATTTAGTCAAGTTTGTTGCTAAGTGATAACGACACAACTTCTACTGTGCAAAATAAAGTGATGACAGTAACCAAGGAGGATGCAGGCAGACTCATCTTGTGTTTACAGATGATGGGAAGCAGACCTATGTGTCAGGAGCCAGACTGATGCCAAGAGGGGAAACATGGCGCCCGCTATTAATTAGGAAGCTCAAGTCTTTATTGAATAAAGCAGACCGCGAGGTGCTAAGTGCCGGAACCCACAGGCAACACTGGGCAAGGGCTAGGAATATGTTCTTAGACTTCTTAAAAGGGAACCAGTCACGAAAAAAACAAGCATAACTAACACTACTCCAACATGCCTGCTTAGGCCTTTAGCAGACTTCTTTGCTTAAGGGCAGGTTCACAGATCTGGCCCGGAAAATGGTGTGAACCTGCCCCCAGTTCCAGATCAGACAAAATGAGACATGAAGTATTTTTCTGGTCTGGAACGGACTGCGCTGGTGTGAACAGAGGCCAGAAATAGCATAGGGATACATCAGGATGCGTTTGGGTCCGGAAACAATCTTGTCTGGTGATGATCTGGATGTGGTGTGAATGGGCCCTTACTCTGGAAGCAATCCTGTATGGGATCTAAAAAGCATCAGCAGTCATTGAAAAAAAGCATCAGTAGTGCACTGTGGGATGCTAAAAAAAAAAAAAAACTGTTGGAACATGGCGCTAAAGTTGAGGACTGTCTGCTGAGGGCATCCAGGTTCAGGGTCTTCCAGGTGCTACTGACAGAGATTTCTCCCTGTCACCACCTCTGGCATGTTTTCTGCTGCTTCCTCCCAACACACGGCCTTTTTTCTTGGTCATTAGGTGGCCAATTATGATGCAACGCATCATTCCAGCACTCTGAACTCTGAGTATTTGTAAGAGTGCAATTCAATTCTTATTTAAAACCCAGCACCAGCCAAATCTTTTATTTTAGTTTGTATGCAGCAGGCCAGGGTTAGACTAAAATAAAATAGGAGTGGTGCTTTTGACCATATAGTGTTACTTTAAGATGATACCTCTAAGTGTCCGTGTGACATCATCCTGAACTTATCGGTCAATATGTTATTCATGAAACTATTATGTTCCCAGTAGAATAAATGCCATGCTAAAAAGAGAACTACGAGATAACCTTTTTATCTCATTAGTTCTCTTTAGGGTCACCGGAGGACATATACTAACCTTCTCCCGTGACCCAAAGCTTAGTATATAGTGAACTATTGCCCGCTATATACTGAGAGCACCACAGCCGGGATGGATCTCGACAATAGGGTCGAGAGCCACTCAGCTGGCTGATTGACAGCGGGCTCTGCATATCTAGAGGCAGAGCCAGCTTTGCCCGCCCCCTCCCTGTCCGTTCCACCACTCAGCGCTGGAGGATCAGGGAGGGGGATCCCTGCGGGGAGCGGTGACTAACAGTCACGGCTCTCTGCAGGGAGATGATCGGGAAGTGAGTGAGCGTCAGTATGTGTTCGCTGAATTCCCGATCTACAGCGTCAAAGTGTGACACTTTAAACATTACACGTCGGCTTTAACTATGAGGAGTGTAAATCACTCACCTCATAGGTCTCCTTTAAGGACTTGGGAGACTACAAATTTATTTGAAAACCTATATTTGAAGCTTTGGCCCACAGCCTAATGACCTTCTGTTTATAGTGTTTGCTTCTAACATAAAACTCGGAAAGGTGTTCCCTAGATGTACCGTACAATTAAAATAAAGAGATGTTCTTCCCCCCAGATAGGTTCTATTCCAAAAGACTTACCTGACAAAATAAATGAATCCATTCAGAGTCACAGTTTTGGGTGCAAACGACCAGGGGGGCAGCAGGCCACAGTTCACCAACGACCACAAGTCCGTTTCAGGGTCATAGCACTGCATGACCATAGTCTCTTTGCCTTCTAATGACCCTATGGCGTAAAGCTTGCCCCGGCAGGAGGTAGTGGAGCAGTTGTCCATGGGGTACATCATGGGCCTGAGGGATTCCCAGGAATCTAAGGTATGGTCATAGCGCTCTGAGCTGTCTGATGCAATAACGTACAGCATGCCTTTCAGCACAGTGGAGGTGTGGTATTCCCGGGGCTTCAGCATTGGAGAGACCTCTGTCCATTCATTCACACTGGAGTTATACCGCCAAACACAGTCGTACAGCCGGGAGCCGTCAGACCCTCCTGAAAAACAGGAGAAAAACATTAACATATACCGTATGTCTCAGCAAAATACTGTACATGTGCTGCAATGCACGCAGGAGAGTGTGAAAACAGTTGTGCCTACCTAAACAACGCATCAACCAGGTAGGCCCTTACGCCATATAGTTCTTTATAGATCTAAAGAAGATAATACAATCAAACTGTTTGGTGAATGGAAGGGCTGTACATTTCCCAGGGGCCGGGCAGCCGATGCTCCTTAAAAATGACAGCTGGTGCCTAACTTTTGCGGTTCTCTAGTTGTTGGCGATGGAGCTCCTAAATCCTGCTGGATTAGACAGATTGGCTCCTGAACTCCATAATAATTTGTTCACATCTGGTATATGGCCAGCAGGAGTTGGATCTAAAGCTAAAACAATTGTTTTTTCGTTTTTGGTAAAGTATGGAACAGATAAAGCCCCTGTCATTTTTTTGCCATCTGTCCCACTGGTAAGATTCTGTCCTGTAAACACAACAGGAAGTTAGAGGAAATCTCTTCAAAGAGAGGAAAATACCCTCTTAAACAAACAGGAAAAACATGTCCCTGTTGCAGGATTTTCCCTCTATTGTTGATTCTTGTGACAACTCACCAGGACATTTTACTTCACTTTGAGTACATGCAGGGCCGAATTTACTCTCTCTGCTGCCCCAGGGCGAGGTTCCTCAATGTGCCCCCCTACACGCCAACCCCCCCAGTGTAGAAAACCACTACCCGCCCAAGCATGGGGAGATAGGAATTCCACACCCCTGCTGCCCCTCTACTCCCTGCTGCCCCGAGGCCAGGCCTTGGTTGGCCTTGTGGGAAATCGAGCCCTGAGTACATGGTCACCAGGGAACACAAAGTAATCTCCCCAATAGGTCACAGAGCATGAAAACCCAGAAATAGGTGAATGGAATACCAACAATTGGTGCAATATTGCAGGATGTCAGGCTCAATGGCTCTAGTGTGGGTGCTTTTGTCAGACAGGGAAAGAGAAACAGTGCACAAAGAGCCAAAGAATAGAATACACTTTGGGGATCATCTGGCGGTTGCATAATGACCCAACAGTACGTCTTGCTAACCTGGAGGAAACGAGAACCTACAAAGGCTGTGCTGGAGCTTTGAAGCCCTGGGGTCCCTGAAAATAAATCCTGAACCCAATGCAGCAAATCAGCAGTGCCATCTATGACGCCTCCATACAGGGTAAAATATGGAAGGCCAAAGGTCCTTTCGGGGCATTAGTGCGGTGGAGTATTTCAGTAAGATGATAGGCAAGAGCTGGCTTCATCTAGGAGGTAGCCTCCAGAACAATAGACATTAGATGAATCTGGGAACAGATGGAGCAGCTAATACAGTAATAACTGCTGTCATACTTGCTCCTCGGTTCTGCACCTGCTCCAAGCACTCTGGGGACAACGTGACTGTCACTTTGTTATAATGAGACAATCACAGCACATTAACTGGCACCACGCTGTGAATGCTGCCTTCAGATTAGTTTGTAGGCCGCGTTCTGTACTTTGGACCTGGCAGTGAATGTCTACAAGTCTGGTCCTTCCTACGAGAGACAAGGTCTTTCCTCATTCCCTGCAATTGTAAGGTCACAGAAGGACTCAAAATGTCCCGGCATGGTGTCAGAACCAGTTCAGTCCCCCAGACAAAGACTTTAATATTATTTTATCCATCTGCCCAATTCAATAATGACTTTTTATAGTTCTCTATTAAAGCAGCATAAAGGTCAAGGAGATGGAGGAGAGAGCGGGCTTGGCCTTTGGCCAGCAAAAGGGGCCGTCATCTCCGGCACTGCTGATCCCAGAGCTATTTCCATCAGCCTTCCAGAGTTGATATTTGAGGTTTGGTCACAGAGACCCCATTCCATAACACCTCTGCATGTGTCCTCCCACTTCCTGCATCCATCACGGAGGAGTCTCACTTTACTTGATGGATTTTTCACTTTATATACTTGAGTAGGAATGCAGCAAACAGTGAGAGGCTTATGTCAGAGCAAGCTAGTAGGATGAGAGGAAGTCTAGTAGGATGCTCTTTTGTGTCCTTGCTGCCCTGTACCAAGATTCCCAGTGGGGGCAAAAATGAAAATTCAGAGTTTGCTTCGGACCCCTCCAGTTAGGTCGGGGTACAGTTGGTCTCTAGAAACTGCCAGTCAATTTGGGTTTTAGAGGAACTCTAGCATTTATATTTTTTTGACTGAGTGAGGAAGGGATAGAACCTCTACTGCGGTCATGTTTACTCGAGGATTTCCCTCACTTCCTGTTAAAGTGGTCAGCGAGACAGGAAGTGAGGAAACATCTCCCCAGTGTGGATACAGACTGCAAGAGAAACCTGAAGAAAAAAAAAAAAGGTCCTAACTCTTTGCAAAAGGTTACTTTATGCACACACTGCCCCCATCACGCTCCACTAAAAAAAAAAAAAACTGAATTGATCGTTTGACACTTTATAGCAGAACTCCAGCCAAATAAAATGGAACCGCCCATTTTAAGATCAAATAAAATCAGGTTTTGCTACAATATCCCATCTTCAATTGCAGTACTTATTTCTGCCACTAGATGTCCTGATGGCTAGCATCCTTCAACCCACTTCCTCTGAGCCCAAATTATCCTGGACTCACCCCCAGCCTGTGACTGGACAGTGAAAAGAGAAGCAGCAGAGTGATAAGCTAATCTGTCACTCTGCTTTCTGCTCCTATCAGGATGCATATTAAGTTGTTAGCATATGACTCCTTGTGCTGCTGCTCCTTCCTCTCACATTTCAGCCCTACTTTACAGAGGCTGCAAGCGATCAAATTCAGGTTCTGAGACTGCTTGCATTTAAATTATGCATTCAATGATGTATTAATTATTAAAGCTGCATTCATTTGTGTCATTTATAGTTGCCTAGAATTCAGCATTAACTTCCATTTGATAGTTTTGAGCAGAGTGCCACTTTAATTGCCATGTTCAGGCCTTGTGCTTGGACTCATGTGACACGATCATTTAGGGACTCTATCTGCGTATGAAATGTATTTTCTTGCGCTGGAAGTTGTTTGAGAGCGACAGTCCTCCTTGGCTATTAATACATCAGCGCGTGACCATAAAGAGGAGGAAGCTTAGGATATGAGCATGTACAGAGTGTGAACCCGTCTATCCAACATGGATCCTGGCCAATAGCTCCGAACATGGCTGGGATTTGTCAGCGGACAAAATACACGAAAGGAAAAGCCTGGAGCAGGTTACAGGTACAACCAAACAGCTCCAACTGAGGTGCCGAACAAAAAACAACTTGGAGAAAAGTCGAATGTACCCATGTTATGGTTTATACTGGGAGAAGACGATCACAGATACAGTCTAGGAAATACTAGGGTCAAGTACATATCTTCAGCCTTTGCGGTGCATTGCCTTATGCTGCCTTAACACAATGGGGTCAATTCACAAAGCTCAGCGTTATGAGAGTAGAAGTTAATTTATCTATAAGAAATGAAGAAAATAAGCTTTGTGAATTGACCCAAATGCACGTTAACATGTGCTCCAAGGGGTCTGCACACCTGCTGTGCCCATTATGAGGGGTTCCCACCACACTTGGGCCAAGTTCCCAGATCTGCACACTTGCTGTGCCCATTATGAAGGGTTCCAACAATACCTGTGCTACGTTTCTAGATCTTTGCACACCTGTTGTGCCCATTATGAGGGCTTACAACCATACTGCATTAAGTTCCAGGGTCTGCACACCTGCTCTGCCCATTATGAGAGGCTTCCACCTTCTCAGCCCAAGTTCCCAGGTCTGCACACCTGCTGTGCCCATTATGAGGGGCTTCCACCAACTCTGCCCAAGTTCCCAGGTCTGCACACCTGCTGTGCCCATTATGAGGGGCTTCCAACTCTGCCCAAGTTCCCGGATCTGTACACCTGCTGTGCCCATTATGAGGGCTTACAACCATACTGCATTAAGTTCCAGGGTCTACACACCTGCTCTGCCCATTATGAGATGCTTCCACCTTCTCAGCCCGAGTTCCCAGGTCTGCACACCTGTGCCCATTATGAGGGGTTCCAACCATACCTGCACTATGTTCCTGGATCTGCACACCTGCTGCACCCAATATGAGGTGAAGCACACCAAATTACAGCAGATATGTGGAGTTAAGGAGACTTATGTGCACACAGGAAGCTCTGTATACATTTAAAGATACAGACAGGTACCTTGTGGTAAAGGCTCTGCTAGGCCTAGGGTGCCGTGTATTTAATAGGTTTTGGGACAGTGCAATTTCACTTTAAATACCACAATGAATACCCTTTCAATGTGAATGCTTTGAATGAAGGATTTGCAGAAATCAAGAGCAACTTTGCAGAGTCTCCCAGTAAAACTAAAGCATTTCAAGACTTGCCCCTTTCCAGCCAACCCAGCAAAATACCTTTAAGTCTTCAATCTCATTCCTTTTAACTATAGTTCAAATGATGTTAAATTAAATGCCCTCCCACTACTGTGCTCTGTGCTGGCAGTATTATCCACGCCCTTCATTACAAGTGTCCTCATATAGACTTGTACTGCAGAGAAGAGAGGGACATGTTTGATCAGGTATGTTAGATCACCAAGAGCGCTGTGCCTGTTGGGGTAAAACTATGAAATGGGAGGTTTGTCTCTACAATACATATCTATTTTTGTGACGTCAATTGCTCTCTAATGACTCCAATAATGAATCTAATAAACCAGATCACCACTCACCTGTCACATAGATGTCATTCCCCAGTGCTGCAATGCTATAACCACCTCCCAGATGTTCCGGGAATTCGGCCAGGTACCTCCACTGCCCCGTGTGAGGGTTATAACAATCCACCGTTACTAGCTCATCACAGTCCTGGTCGCAGCCCCCCACAATCACTAAAATCTCTGCCAGCCCTGTGGAAGGACGTGGCCTCATCCTCTCGCAGGGCAGGTCATGGCGGTCATATTCGGAAGACTGAAAGGCGCGGGCTTCCCCTATGAGTCTCAAGCATGAGGGACTGAAGTAGACCAGGGGGTCGCTCTCCACATGGGCCAACAGGTAGAAGCGGCGGATGAAGGGGAGGCGGACATGCTGGAAGAGCTCTGGCCACCGGTGCTGGCGGTGGGGGAGGTCAGCCCTGACCCACCTAAGGATAATCTGATAAGCAGTCTCCTCCTTATCCACGCATAAGCGGTCATCCATGATATATTCCAACATTCGCTGCCACGGCAACCGCTCCACTTCCCGGGCCTGGGCCAGCTGTGGCATGTGGGCCAGGATGAAGCGCTTGGTGCTCTCGGCCAGACCTCGGCAGGCATAGGCCTCAGCGAAGTCCTGGATCTCCAGACAGTTGCTGACATCCAGCTGACGTTCCAGATAGGCACAGCAGGCCTCCTTCACCGAGGGGAACTGGAAGAGGTCTGCGGCCTGCAGGAGGGGCTCTACGTTCTCTTGGGTGACGATAACCCGACCGGTGTAACAGAAATCCACCAACAGGCCCAGGATGGGCCCAGTAACCTGCTGTAGCTCCACCCGCTCGGCCTGGCTCTCCCGCAGCCTCCCCGCAAACATGGCGCGGAAGTAGTTGCTGGCGGCGGCCAAAACGGTGCGGTGACATGGGAAGTCTTGCCCTCCAGCGCTTACGGTCATGTCAAAGAACTTTTCCTCTGCCCTCAGCTCGTTGATGCCCCGCAGAAGGTGGAGGGCGTGCGAGGAGTCATAAAAGGGCAGAGAGGAGTCAGGGGGAGGCGGGCAGGTGGAAGTAGTATGATCCATGATGAATACCCAAACGTAGGGGTCAGCGAAGGATCATCTGTGAAAGACAAAGAAGAGTTAGCCATAGGCAGAGAAATGGCCATTTGCTCATACATCAAAAATAACATCCAATTGTGTGTTCCCTTAGTGCAGCCAATCAGATTGAGATCTGGATAAGAACAGTTGGAGAATGACAGTTCGGTTCAGATTGCGCACATGGGTTCAGATACTTAGGTCAGGTGTAAAAAATCTGCAGCTATAATAGAACTGCAAGTCTGATACTGGTCGGGATACACATCTCATAGGGGGTGTTGACCAATACCAACCAGATTCTCTCTTTCAATGTCCTAAGGAAGGTTCTGTTTAGGTTTTTTGGGCAACAAAACTTTTTCTTCCAAGACAAGGTATGGAAAATGTGTTCATGGTGTGAACCAACTCAACTTGGCCCACCTAATTATAGGCCCACTACTAGCGCTCCTAGAAAAACACAAAAAAAGAGATAAAGCGCACTCCTGTGGGCAAACTTCAATTGGATGGCTGTTTGTAGGTGTGCAAAGCTCCTCACTACAGGGAGAGGACCCTGTCTATTAACAACTGCAGATAAAAACAAAAAGGACAGGAGCGCAACTACCAGAAGTGACGTAAATGGAATCGATTTGGCTTAGTTGATCTATGTGATAGGGGATGTTGGTGGATCTTAGTGTGTAGAATCTGGGTGTATGCAGTAATGTTAGAGCAAGCTGACTTACGGTTGGAAGCTTCTCCGTGGTCCGTGCGCCGCCCTCCTTTGACAGATCCTGGGTCGAAGAGCCCCGGTGGTGTCCCCGGTGGTGTGAGAGGCTGATCTGTTGGGAGTGCGTGTCAGTATGGCCGCCCACGTTCTCGGCTGGCCGGGCCACGTCAGCCGAGAACGCGGGCGGCCATACTGACACGCAACCCCAACAGATCAGCCTCTCACACCACCGGGGACACCACCGGGGGCGCCGCACACAGACCACGGAGAAGCTTCCAAACGTAAGTCAGCTTGCTCTAACATTACTGCATACACCCAGATTCTACACACTAAGATCCACCAACATCCCCTATCACATAGATCAACTAAGCCAAATCAATTCCATTTACGTCACTTCTGGTAGTTGCGCTCCTGTCCTTTTTGTTTTTACTAGCGCTCCTAGATGGGTATCCCCAAGCTTCATATCAGAGTCAAATGTTCCATACTTTGCACCAATGTAACAACTGTGTGCAAGTCAAAGTAAATGACTCAGTAAAGTCAGACTGCATGTGCTCTACCCACCAACACTTCTGGATGGACAGTTGGCCACAGCATCATAGATTAAGTTTTTTTTCCTTTGCTCCACCCATTATCCTAAAATGAGGAATGAACCTTGTTTTTTTGGATTCATGTTGACATATAAAAGACAGGCATATAAAGACAGACATTCTCTTTGAGGAAGGCATGCTGTACTTCATAGTGGTAATCTGTGTACCCGGGAAAGCAGCTGGCCTTCCCTGCTCCAGGACTGTTGAGATAAGCTCAGTCGATTTTATAAAGAGCCATCTGTGCTCAGCCAAGTCAGACCTGACCCATGCTCTTGCACTGAACAAAAGGATCTGTGAAGAACACTCAATGTGCAGTACTACTAAGCAAGAAGCAGATTCTGCCCATGTAATACAAGATGGCTGCACCCATTTGCATAGATGTTTACAGGCTATATAAACAATGTTTTAAAAACATTTAAAAAAAAAAAAACACACCACAGATAAAACTACATAAAGCAGATCAGATTGACAAAAATAAGTACAAAAAAAAAAAAAAAAACTTTTCATACAGACC